AGGCTGACCCTGTGCATTGCTCCTAGTTCCTTGGGGTAAATAAAATACCAAATTAATGCTGCACATGAACAAGGACAAAGAAATACAGAGATATGTTGATGGAAAACAGGGAGGGAGAAGGTACAACCTCCCTCGTCATCACCTCCAGCAGCCATCCCAGCAGGCTGTACAGAAGCAGCGGAGAGCAGGAAGAAGGGACTTGCCAGCAGCCCTGCTGAAAGAACTGCCTTTTCCCTCTTCCCTCCCCATTCTTTTTCCTCACGTGCTGTGTCACTTTTCAGATGCTAAGCCTGTAGGCAGGGACTGTCTTGCTTTAACAATTATAGGTAAGCTGCTCTGGGAAATTTTTGGCTAACGAGCAGGATAAAAATATTTCAAATAATAGTTAAGGCAAAAATAACACGGGGGAAGATACTGAAAAGGTTGCCAGATTGAAGTTAAAGATTTAGAGGCACTGAAGCCTGGAGCTTTGAAGCCTACAGTTTTCCAGTTGCGGGTTTCAAAGGGTGTTTGTGGACACTTCTGTGTAAACTTCTCAGTGGTTCCCCAGGACAAAGAAAAGTAATGGCAGACAAGCTCGTTGAAAGATGCGTTTGGTCTGCAGAGCAGTTCGGGGTCTATTCTTGGTTGCATTATCAACTGCTGGGGAAGGAAGTGCAACCCGGCCTCCTCTCTTGCTACAAACTTGCCCAGGTATTAATATCTGCCGGAGGGGCTTTTTGTGGGTACCACGGGGCATGAGCCCCTTTTCTCCAGCCTTCAGGAAACAACTAACTCCTGCGTTGCCCCCAGACTCTGAAATAGCACTTCTATAGGAAGCACGATCAGTCCCCACTCTTTGGCCTTTTGAAAGTGTGTAAAACATACAACTTCTTGGTTGAGCCGCTTAGGACACTACCCTGCAGCGGCTAGAAACTGTCCACATGAGGTCAGAGATCCCACTCTGACCAAGCTCAGAAACGCATCCCAAGGTCAGCGCTGAAACGGTGCCCTTGGACCACCCGCCTTCTGCCCTCACATCTGGCAGGGTCTTTCCAGGGGCAGGACATGACGGGGTGGGGGTGGGGGTGGGGAGGTGCCCTGGGCGATAAAGCATCTCCCCTTCTTGGGAGCAGGCACAAATTCCAGTTGAAACCGGCCAGCTAAGGTTCTGCAGGGTGGAAAAAGCAGAGAGGCCCTGAGCCGCCACACACCTCCCATCCTCAGTCGGATGCCTGCAGTCCACCCAGTTGGAAGGGTTACAAGCGGCCCACAGGCGTCCTTTTCCTATTTTAATGCATTTATTGTTCTTGCTTTTGTTGTTTCAGGGTTTTGTCATAATGGTTGTGCATTGCCTTGGGTTTTTGTCTTTCTTCTAGCAGATAAGCCTGGATAGAAATGTTAATAATCAATCCACATGTCAATTAATAGAGGTCAAAGAGAACTTTCCAGCTCCCCTTCCAGGTCCAGATGCCTTTCCAGCATGCAGGGGGTTCCTTGGTGGACCCCAGAGGTGCATCTGGCCAGACCCTGAGTCCAAAGGCCACCCAGAGGGGGGCAGCAGATGGGGGCCAAGGAAGCGAGTTCCATTTTATTTCTGCAGTCATAATGGCGTTATCATTTCAGTGCACTTAAAATACACACCTGCACATGCTCAGAGGCTTTGTTGTCTAAGAGCTGAGGAGCATTCTGGCAAGCCATTGCACTGCATGGCATTTGCTATCAGGTGCCCCACAAGCAACACAATACGCAAGGCCAGGGGTCGGCAACCCACGGTTCCGGAGCCGCACGTGGCTCTTGAATCCCTCTGCTGCGGCTCCGTCGCCCAAAATACGTGTAACCGAGGCTCCGAGTTACAAAATACCAATGGGTGATGATGAGGCGCCCACTCAGGAAGGCCACGCTAGCAGGTTAAGGAAATTGCTACATTCCTCTGCTAAACAAGCTTCCTGCAGGCTCTCATGTTACGGGGAACCCTGCTGAAAAGATTTCCTTTGTCCAAATATAATCTCCTTCCTCTGAATGATAAAAGCTGCGCTTGGGACCTTTCACAATTCACAGCACTTGACTGTTTATCTGCTAATCAGTCACTAAACACACCTATATCTCCAGCACAGTGGATCTGCGGGATCCACGCCGATTCCCCCCCCCCCGCCCCCCGTAGGCCAACCATGGATAAATTGAAGTTTCTGAAGAAAACCAAACGTTTAATGATACATGGGTAGAATCATTTGCTTTTACTGCTGATGAACTTACGGGGTTTGCTGTTTAATGCATGCAGCCCTTTAGCACTGACTTTGACTCTTCAGGAAGCTGTTCTCCTATTCAAAATATATGAAAGGAGTCCTACTAGTTCATAATGTAAGATTAAAAATAACAGTTTTTAGCGACTGAACAAGAGCTGCTGCTAAATCATAATGGAGATATACATAGCATTAAGGTAAAAAACGATATATGCAGTGTTATCTTCATTTTAGATGTCAAAAGGGTTCTGTGGCTCCTGGAGTTTTCTTTTGTGTGGGAAACGGGTCCAAATGGCTCCGTTGAGTGTTAAAGGTTGTCCACCCTGCGCAAGGCTGTTCCAAGGAAGCCCCGGGGCCAGGACACACAGAGGCTAAAAGGAGCTCGCTGGACTACAGCAGGCACACAAGAATCACATCCAGAGGTGCTCTCTGTCCAGTCAGACGGCTGGTCCATCCAGGCCCCACGTTGTCAACACTGACTGGCAATAGCGACCCTCCAAATTGCCAACAGGTCCTTTTCCGGCCCTCTCCGAAGGGCCAGGAATCACATCCGGGACCCTCAGAATGCGACACCTGTGATGCGTGACACAAAAGCCTGCTGCGCGCATTTTAGTGCGGGTTTGTTCTGCTACCGAAAGCTCATTTGTCCATGTCTCCATGGGGGGAAAATGGGGGGGGGGGGAACGCTGAAGGAAGGCAAAGGGCCATATAGGGGACTCTGCATCCAAAGCAAACCAGGCCCTAGGAGCAATCCAAAATTAAGCTGAGCTTAATTTTACCCCTGTGGCAGAAGTTCAAATAAGCCTCTCTTTCTGGGTGCTCTTACCTGAGACTCAGGCTGCAGGCTCCTTTCCAGGTAGGTCCCTGCATCTTCTATCCTGGAGTGACTCAGTTTCTCATTTCACAGGCGCTTCCCCTGCATTCCTGCTTTAGGCTAGGATCCTCAAAGCTTGGCTCAAACTGCTCTTAAAAGAATGACGACAGCCCCAGCTCCTGATCGTGACGGATCTGGAGCTGGCAAACTGAGGCTCCAACTCTCAGTGCTTAGCAGGACACCCACAGTGGCTTTCCCTCTTCCAGGGTTCAGGAGCGCCTCCCGTAATAAGTAGCCATACCTCATCATTATCATAATTGCCTTGCGCTGTGGGATGGTACTGCCCTTTGGCTGCTGCTCAGTCCTGAAACTTCAAATCGAGTTTGAGGCAAGACCAGGAATAGCATCCTGCAGCAAAAGGGGAAGGAGGAGTCAGCTATGGAGAAATGTATTGAAGAAAATGCCCATAAGCTTTCGTGGACTAGAATAAATTGATGCGCGTGTACAACACGCACGCTTAGATGCACGAATGGATGTTGCAGAAGGTAAGCAGTGGAGGCACCTGGAAATGCAGTGCAAAAAGCACGGGCTGCGATGATTCGGTGGACGCAGGGGGGCCACACCTCAAGCTCAAGGGCCAGCTGTGCCTGTCAGGATTCCCAGGCAGCCACTGCCTCCAATCCACCCATGAATGGCCTTATATTAAGCTAAAGCAGCACTGCAAATTTAGAAAAAGAGAACTCCACACACAAAATGCTGTGGATGGTTCCCGTTTGCTCATGAACAAAGCTCAGCTCCTGAGGTTTCTCTATGGCTCTTCTAGAATTTGCCAGTGCTGTCATTTCCTTGTAGATCTACATTTTACGAAGCCCTCCTTTTTTTCTGTTTTCTGGTACTCATCACATCATTGCCGGGAAGTCACCCTATTACGATGCTGTCATGATGCCTTATTTTTAGGTTGTCCTCATCATTCACCTTGCAGCTCTGCCTTGTTTGGACTTCCATCTGCACGGCTTAAGAGGTGCGGCACCTGTTTTCTTGCTTTGTTGCATAAACCGGTTCGCCCTGTTCGCTTGATTTGCTCAGGATGCTGGCGCTCAGGTGCCGGCTGGATCTATTTCAAGCAAGCGTGCAAGGACCTCATTCTGCCTGAGGGCTGAGTTCCACGTCAGAGCTCTCAGGGGCCGCACTCCAGGAGTGAATGGGGCCCAATGCGAAAGGGGCAGGGTGGCAGGAGCAAAAATTCCAGTATACTGTGTTTGAATCTCTTACTGCCATGGCTAAGCCTTAGAAGGGACTTTCGGCCTTTCTGAATTGTGGAGACAGGGACTGTACTCCATTTGGGAGCAAGGGGGAACCTGAAGGGCCAGGCTGGGACCCCAGGCAGGCCAGATTTGGCCCCCAGGCCTGGGGTTCAACACCCCTGGATTAAAGGATTGGGTGCCACCTGCCTGCCTGCATGCTGAAGCTCTCGGAATGAAACTTGTCTCTTGCTAAAATGGGGCCCAGGTCACAGGGGAAGGAAGAAAACTCTGCTAGGATAGCCCTAAGACAGCCTCTGCCACCAGTCTGGGCCAGTGTTGTACTGGTCTACAGACAGTGACCTAGTGCAGAAAAAGGCAGCTTCCTGTAGTCTTAGTTTTGGGACTGGATCTGGCTAGTTTTCTGGTTCTCATCAAACAGAACATGCGCAAGGACTGGAGGAAGAGGGAGACCCTGTGTGACGAGAGATGGCAAAAATGTGTAGTACCTAAGCGAGGTGGGAATTTGTGCTTGTAAGAAAAAAAGCTAACATTCCCAAAGTTTAAGCATGGCACAAGAAGCTTTGGGAACTGCCGTATCCTCTTTTCCCACAGCATAGCAAAGATGCAGTACCTGTTTTCCACTACCAATGTTAGAAGGGGCAGTAAAGGCCAGAGAAATAAACAGACTTCACACTTGCACACAAACACACACTGCCAAAAACGATGGGCTAGGCCAGCTATTTAGGGCAGGTTTCACTTCCCATGGAGCACACGCATAATTATTATGCTCATCCTTGTGTCTAGTAAAACAGGTTGTGAAGATTTCAGAGCAAGACAAAATCCTGCCAAACCAGCTTGTACAGAGGATGAAACTACACACCGCAGGCTGCCATGATCCTGCTTTCCAGTTGCCCTCAGTTCTAGGGGGGAAATGGTCATCTGCCACCCAATTTACGCTTCCTTGTGACGATCATAATTGCAATTCCACTTTTCAGTCCTGAAGGACCCCCAGGGAGACTTGCATTCAATGCCGTTTAACGTAATTGCGCAAGAGCTGTCGCTGTTCTCTCGGACACCTGCCGTCCCTTTGGAACGGCCTGTCTTCCTTGGCTTTCTTCCCCAAACCCAGTTCTGATTAGGTCGCGGAGGTTCTTCCCATCAGAATCCACCTCTGGCTGATGTCGCTTGGAGGGTCTGCTGCTTTGCTGGGCATTCTCCTTCCTCACCGCCACGAAGCTGGGCCTCGCTTGAGCCAAATCTGCCCTGTTACCGTGTTTGCAGTGCTTCCCTCTCCCTCATGCACACGGTTCTCCTTCAATCAGGTGACCATCCATCACAACTCAATTGACCTCGACTGGCAAACCCAAGAGCCAAAATTAAGCCTCTTTAAAGATGCTCTTGGATCGAGAGCTTTGCTGGACATCATCACATCTTGTGGAAATGAATGGCACAGTTTAACTAAGTGCTGTGTAAAAAAAGGACTCCTTTTCCCCGTCTTGTGTCTTCTGCCAATCTTCCTCATGGGGTGACCCCACTAGCTTGGAACCATTCTTATATAGCATATGCCACAAGATCCTCAAATCCAATGCATTATAGGAGGCAGGTATTTATCTTCCAATGTTGTCATATCAGTCTTTTTGCTGCCCAAAAGAGCAAGGAGAATCCACTTCCCTTGCCTTTTATTAATTTCCATGAAGCAGATAAAAACTTTAAAACAGGGTGCACATCAATGAATATTAAAGACTGTTCCAGTACAAAATTTATCCATGTAATAGCCCCCTCTCAAAAAGAAGCAACTTCTTGACGTTTCCAAAATATATGTTTAAAAGAAGCATTAGCTTCTTCTTTCGCTGCATTAGCTCAGCATTTAGCAGAATTAGGCAATCCCTTATAAAAGAGCTATTGCAGTGCCCAAAAGGAGTGAAACAAACACACAGCCTAAGATCCGTAGATCCTGGCGGCAGATCTCAGGGCAGCATTCCACAGATTAGGAATTCTGTGGTGGTGCAGTTGTTCAAATTCCCAGATGTGCCATGTATCCACCAAGATTAGGGACTCCCAAGTCTAATCCATTTAAGTCCCTAAATTAAATGAAGTTGATTAAATTACATTCCTGTACTCCATCTTAAGCTTTTTCCCATGCAGACTTCATACTTTCAGCATCACCGGCCTTTCCTCTTGTTGCCGCCCCTCCCCGCCCCCCAACCTGGCTTTCAGAAATATCTAATCCAGTGAGGAAACCCTTGAAAGTTTGCCCACCATTTCGCACATATTTGATCAGTCCTAGTAAAGGTATTGCCGGGCTTTGGATTTGCATTCCTCAGCATCAGTCAGGCGCTTTTCACTGACCCCTGCAGGGAAGAGAGACTCTCGCAGAAAATTGGGCTTTGCATTGTCGATGTGGCAGCATGGCAGCCTCACTCGCTAGATGGTGTGGCTCATATGAATGTTGTGCATGAAAACAGAAGAAAGAAAAAGGGGTGCTGTAAAATAAATGTTCCTCGGAGCAGATGCAGGAGCTGAGTTTGGATTGCAGCTGCGAGAAAAGCGAACCATCAGCGCAGACACCAGCCTTCACCAAAAGGTCATGCCTCTCCTGCAAGGGTTTGTCCTACTGATATGCCCATGCGATCAGTGCGAGCCACAAGGCGAAAGCCGTCCCCATAGCTCGCAGCTCCGGGACAGGGCATCCCGCCCGGTTGCAGAGGGAATCTTTGCAGCACGCTGCATGGGCCTTCTGCCTCATCAGACCCAAGTCCAGGTGCCTTGTGCATGTGCTCTCTGTCGCACAGCCCTTCAGGATAGTCACAGGAGAGTCCCTGTTTTCTGGAAAAACAGCATAGAGTCAGATTTGTGGCGCTGCCTTCAAAGTGAGCCCGCAGCGCATTCTACCGAAGGAGCGCTAGGCGGCGAAAGAGCCCCAGAAATTAAGCAACTGCCTTTGTGGAACACTCGACCCACTTGCCTCTTAAGCTACTCTGGGAAAAGATCTCGTATATTAAAGAGCTGCTTCTTCCTTTGATTTTAAGGCTTCATTTTATTGGACAGCAGCATCCTGTTTTCATTTAGTCACTGCATGGATTGCTTAGGAATGAATCACTGGGTTTCACTGTATGTTTTGCCAGGGGAAAATAACAAAAGTAATTTAGAAACAGAAACAGAGAAACAGTGTGTGTCAGAAGGGGCCTCCTGAGCCAACTAGTCTGACCCCCGGCTCCAGCCAGCTCCACTCATGACATGCCTACCATGTGCATGTCCAGCCTATCCTTAAACACCCTCACCAGTGGGGCTTCAGCCACCTCCCGTGGAAGCCCATTCCTCAGGGTCCTAACTGTCAGGAAGCACTTCCTGGCATCCACCCTAAATCTTGGTTCCCTGAGCTTTGCTCCATTGGAACATGTCCTGCCCTCCACTGCAGTGGAAAAATGCATGGGTCGTGTCCCACCTCCGCGTGGCACCCCCTCACGTTACCTGTACATCACTAACAGGTCCCCTCAGAGTCTCCTCCTCTCCAGGCTGGAAAGACCCAGCTCCCTCAGTCTCCCCTCATACGGCTTCCCCTGCAAACCAGCCACCATCCTAGTGGCCCTTCACTGCACTGACTCCAACCTTGCTATGCCCCTCTCGTAACGAGGGGCCCAGAATTGAACATGATACTCCAGCAGCAGGCACACCAGAGTCGTACAGAATGGCAGTAATACCTCTCTTCCTCTAGAAGCCACACTTCTGGCTATTTACAGCAATGCACTTCTCCAGATGGCAGCTCAAACGCTGCAGCTCTTCAGAAGTTCCTGCAAACAGGGAGGGCTCAGAGAAGGCGGTCTTTCAGGGAGCCGAACCCCAAGAGCACAAGATGTTAATAGCACTCTAGCAGGACACACTGGGGGCCTAACCTGGGAGCCAAAAGGTGAATTGCAGCTGGACCTCTTTGAGTTACAGGGGCACTGCTGTCTTTTAAGTCGGCTCAGGTTTTCCTGGGCCCTTCCTTACCGTTGGTAATGACATGCAGGCATCGATCCATAATTCCCATGCAGTTCAAAAGCTCCAGTCTCTTGGGGTCACACTCCCCTTTCCCCGTCTCCCGACAGGTATAGCATTGCAATCCGTTACTCCGACCGGGAGTTAGAGCTGCAGAGCAAACCAGAAAGAGCCTCTAGCAGGACGGTCTTTTCTATCGGCTGCAACTGCTGAAAATGGAAGCTAAGTAGCATTTGGTGGAGCACCTTCCCCACCTGGCTGGTGCCCAGGTGCGTTGGGCTACAAGTCTCATCATCCCTCGCCCAACGCATCTAGAGGGCACTAGGTTGGGGAAGGCAGAGACAGTTCAAATGCCTTCCTGCTGTGCCCATTTGTTTCGACGGGGCTTGGCCTGGGTCCTTCCCCATGGACTGTGCCTTCAATTATGAATGTTATCACATTCTGATTATCCAGTGGGAATCATTTGGTGTAGGGATGGCAAACCCAGCTGTTTCTGCACCTCGATCGGTCCATCAGTGCAGTACTATAGTAATTACCTGTAAAATTTCCATTGTTACAGTTGGAATTAGTGCAAACCCTTTGGTCAACATATGCAAAATCCTTGCCGATTTGGTACGCCGCCACCACACTCGTAAAGGAAGCGTTTCCACAGCCCTTAATGATGCGCTCCAGCTGTTCATCTGGGGAAGGCAAGCATCAAGTGTTACAGAGCAACCGTGTTTGGAAGGTCAGCCCAAAAGGTTTTGTGCCGTCTTCCTCTGGTTCACATCTATCTCTACTTTAAGTTACCTGGAGGAGCGCTTCATACATGCCCTCCCGCCCCTTGAGATCAGCGGGAGAGGCCCTCCTCCGGGAGCCCTCCGTGAAAGACATCAGGAGGGTGAGTACCCGGAGGAGGGCCTTCTCTGCGGTGGCGCCCCATGTATGGCATGCGCTCCCCAGAGAGGTTCACCTGGCGCCGTCATTATTTGTTTTTTGGCGCCAGGCCAAGACCCTTTTATTCAAACGTGATTTTAATTGTTAGTATTATTTATTTATTTTATTCTTTGGCCAGGGCAACTTAATTTATACTGTTAAATTATATTGTTTTATAGGATGTTATTTATTTATGCTTGTGAGCCGCCCCGAGGCTTCGGCGAATGGGGCAGCATAGAAGTTCCCTAAATAAATAAATAAGTACATTTACTATTTCACTAAATCCGAACCAGAGCTTTTCCAGAGGGTATGTGGATGTGTGTTTCAAAATGCAGTCATTGCTCCGTTGTTACTCTAAGTTGTTTGCAGGAACTTGAATGAGGTTGCTACTTTCTTCCCCGCTGGACTCTTCAGTACTGCTAAGGCATTGGCTTTCTGGGAAAGAGGTGCCTTTTCACAGCTTCGGCTGGTATGCCAGCTACACCTGCCTCCCACTGTGGAACTCGAGGTGGCACCATGCATCTCCCGGGTGGTCTCCCCTCCACACTCAGGCCAGCCCTAGACTTGCTTAGCTTCAGCACAATGGGAACCTTCTGCACCTACAGACCACACTCTCAGCCACATAAAGCCCTAAGCAACTTGGGACCAGCTTATCCTGGCGGCTTTCTCGCTCCTTATCTCCCGGTCTGACCTCTGTAATTATCTGAGAAAGCACCTCTGGGGGTACCACACGCTCTGGAGGTTCACAAAAAGCATTCCGAGTTGCAGCATCCCCCTCAGATGTGCTTCCCTCGTTGCCATAAGATAAGACCCATCTTGAAGCTCATCTCTTTGCATGGATGATCCCTGAGGCGTGGCCCAGGCAGCGACGGTTTCTCACACAACCCCCCGTGCCTGCCGTGCTTCTGTAGAATCATCTTGCCCAAGCGCATGAACATGCACTGTGCAATACCTGGCAGGAACTGCTGAGAAATCTGCACACACCGGTTCCTGGAATCGTAACACGGCTCCGAAGGAGCGTTCTGGCCACAGTCGTCTTTGTCCCCAATGCAGCTCTGGCAGGTCACGCCATTTGGGGATCCGCTAAAATTGGCTGTTGGAAACAGAGGGGTGGTGGGAGGAAAGAACGAAATTATCAAATTCTTAGTCAGTTATGCTGGCAGATGTTGCTGGGCAAAAGTTGGCCAACTTGCTTTTGGTTTAGAGCGTTTAGTCAGGTATCAGAAAAACTCACTCATTTAAGAACAGACCGAAGACTATCATGTCCGCTCAACTTCCACAAAGCCAAGAAATTGGAAGCTAAGACGCAGCCCTTCCATGCACCCACTTTTTCCCTTGGGCTTTCAGTCCCAAATTCAGACAGGGAACAGGGAGTGGCCGGACCATCAAAGATACCTCACATTACAGGCCTGGCATTGCTTCACGCAGCACCTGAACCTTGCAATATTGCTAGATGAATCTTCTTGACAATTGACCAACACCTGGTTGTTCATGATGCTGCACAAAATCATGACTGACCATGAGAGACCAGCCCAAACTTCTTTCCTGGCCCTGTGGACTTTCGGACAACATGAGAGAGCCTTAAACGAGCAGCTTGGTTCATCACTGAATTCCCCTAGGGTTGAAAAAGGACTCTGAAAAAGCATTTTGAAATAAACCAAGCCATGAACGAAAGCAAAGGAGTCATTAATAGAGAGATGTGTACCAGTGAATGAATGAACAATTTATCAGATTTATATCCTGTTTTTTTCTTTTAAAGAACTCAAAGCCGTTCACGTCATTCTCCGCAATGACCATGCCATGAGGTGGGCTGGGCTGAGAGTTTGGGACTGGCCCAAAGTCACCCAGTTGGCTCCATGGCTGAGCAGGGACTAAAACTCAGATTGCCTGAGTCCCAGACTCACACTCTTAACCACTATACCACACTGCCTCGTGTTCCTGTTCATTCCAAAGAGCTTACCCTGAACAGGAATCCAACCTCCTTCCCCTCTTCATCAGAGGGCGAGTGGTCTCCCTTCTTAGCTGCCAGTTCCTTGCTAGCTTGCTCTCTTTTAAAATGTAAACAGGAATTGCAGAATTGCTCTCAAACCTAAGACTGGCAGCATTCTAGTTTCAGAGTGAAACTGAGCTTCCCTGATGTAACTTTGCCAATAGCAGGAAAATGATGTTTAAACTGCAAATGAGAATTTCACCCAACTAATAACAAGAGAGAATTTTATTTTGCCCTCTGTGGTGGTGCAGGGAAGGGCAGCGTGGAGATATGCAGTTCTGGAGCTCGGAAGCAGCAGGGCAACTGGGATTTTCCTTGTGCAAGAAAGTGACTGAGGGAATTAACAAAGCTTTTGTTTTGTTTGCGACATTAAGGAAACCTGAGAATGAGGAGAGTAATCCAGCAGGGTCCAGATACATCTTTCTTTTTCTTTGCTGGAGCTCCAAGGTCAAACTAGCACTTTCAGCTTCTCTGCAGGAAGGTTTGCGCGTCTGGAGCCAAGCTGCAGGTTACATTTCAGCTGGATGAAGCCTTCCCTTTGCCTCTTGTTTGGAAAGCCAAGAGGTGCAGGTGGGGGACAGAATGGAGTCTCCTAGAAAAGGGTGCGGCTGGCTTGAGCAAAACCTCAAACGGAAGCACTCCACACACTGCAATATTTTGTTGCAGCTCTCCCTTGCGATTTTTGGCACCTGATTTGCTTTACTGGACCGCTGTGGCACAGACTATCTATTTCCAAGGAGCTGCCTTTGGTCAATGCAGATGCTTCTGCTGAGACGTTGCAGGTCCACATGATTCGGAACTCACCGACAAATGCAGGGCATCATCACACACACACCGCACCCAGATACATCCACTGCCATTCTTTTCTGCATACCAGGATAGAGCAGCGGCTCACACAGATCCGTGGAGCAGCAGTGTAACGTCCTGGAGAGCAATCCCACGTTCCCGTCATGATAGCGCCGGCAGCTCTCCGAGGTTCCACATCCCCGCTTCACTGTCCTCGCCATCACTGCAGGGAGAACCAGAAAGAGGAGGCATTGCCTCTGGGCAGCAAACAAGCCCAGCTGAGGCCTTCTGCTGCCTGGTGAGTCACCTTTGAAGGCTGGGGACTAGGGGTTAGAGAGGAATATTTGATGGATCAAATGCAGCCACCCCGGGGGGGGGGGGTCACTAGGGCCACAGTCCTGAATCTCTCACTCGGAGCCCGAGATCTCTGGGTGGCCCCCTGCCCCACCCCTCTGCTGCCCCTCTGGAATCAGGGTGCAAGCACCCCGCTACATCCCAGGCCCAAGCATGGGGCTCCCCTTTGACACGTGTGCCTCACCGCCTGCCCCCTGCTGCACGGATCTCCCCACCTGCATTCTCTCCCCTCCCCACAGAAATTTTTCAAGGGGTGCTCTTGGAAGGGAAGGTCCTTTAAAGATGGGGAGGGGGAGAGAGAGACTTTAGAGCGCATGAAAGGCGTTGGGCTTGACCTATAAAGCCCTAAACAGCTTGAGACCTCTCTATCTGATGGAGGACCTCTCCCCACCACAACCCAGTCAAGCTCTGGGGCCTGCCCCCCCTGCCCCGCCAAAGGGAGACTCGGTTGGGGGCAACCAGGAGAAGGGCCTTCTTACTGCTGGCCCCACATTATGGAATTCCCTCCCCGCTGAGGCCTGTGCAGCACCAGGGAAAGACTGTCCTCTATGGCAGGGCATGTAATTCACTTACTGGGGCTTGGTTAGGTGCTTGCATGGATTGTCTGATTAATTCGTATAAGCACTGTAAATGTTTATATGCTTTTTAATATGTAATGAAAACTGTACGTGATAACCTTTTGTGAATTTGTAATGGTGTTTGTATTTTTATATTGTATTTTTCTGTGCTGCTATGAACTGCCCAGACAGCACCAGCTATTGGACGGTATGCGAATTTGAATGGATAAATCGGTCCGTGGGGATTAGTGCCTCTTTCGTCCCATGGGCCGGAGCCGCTGATCGTTTCAGTCTCTGGTACCAACCCTGGTAGCTGGCAAAGGTGAAGGAAATCTGAGCTTGTGCTTCTACCTGGAAAGGAGAAGGCTTGAATTCCAAGGACATGGTGCTGCTTTTGGCAAAACCCTTTGCAAGTCGACCCCATCCTATCTCAGCAATCACGATCTTGCCCCACACTGAGTTAGGCCACTGGTCTGTCTGACCCAGCAGGGCATATGGCCCCAGCCATGAGCTAGAGAGGCATCCATGAATGTGCCAGGGGCTGAATTCAACGCTGAAGATGCTCTCGGCAGCCGGATTGCAGGCGTGGAGGGACTGAAGGCCAAAATGGGTGAGCAGAAAGTCAACAGAGGGAGGCCAAATTAGTAAAAATACCGGCACGTTGTAGCTTAAACTTTTCCTGCCAGTAGCTACACCACAAGGGAGAGATGCCAGCATTTGGAAAAGGAGGGAAACATGATGAAGGACCTCGGAAGGCTGGACTGTGGCCCCAGGAAATGCAGCTTTGACCTTGGTGCAGATGCAGGGACGACCGCTGACTCCTGCCAAGGGACTCCCACCCTTCCAAAGGCTGCTGATGACACGCAGCACTTACAATAGTGAACATCCTTGATCTCAAAGAAGCACGAGTCTTGCTGAGGCTTGCAGACCTCCACGTCGGTCTCCGTGCACTTTCCTATCCTGTTCACACACCTCTTGCATCGCAGGCTGTTGGCTAGAGGAGGACATGCAGACAGAGTCAGCGAAAGCCCGTGGCCTTGCATCAGCTGAATGCAAGAAGGGGCTTCGTATAAGGGTCTGCACAGGCTCCACAGGAACACCCATGATCCCATCTCCAATTCAGAAAGGAGAAATACTTTTCACTCACCCTTTCCTTATCACGACAAGCTAAATCGTGATTTATTTTTCAGCGCCAGGCCAAGACCTTTTTATTCAAACAGCATTTTAATAATGTTTAATATGTATATATTTTAATTGTGCAGCCAGTGTGTTTCCAGGTTTTAAATGTAATTGTTATTGTTTTATTTATTTCTGTGAGCCATCCCGAGGCTATGTAGCAAGGGGACGGCATATAAAAACTTTAAATAAATAAATAAATCCAAAGTGCTCTAATTATGAGGAAAGGGAGAAGCAAGAGGAGCTCTTAATGACAACTGTTGGGAAATGCAGATAAATCCTGGCAGGAAAGGGTTGCTTAGATGTGCCTTTGTCTTATGAAATCAAAGCTGCACCCCATTCTCAGAGGGCACCAGCATGCCAAGCCAGGTCGCTGTTTAGTGCTGCTGTTACTTTAAGAAGATAGCATTCGCAGCTGGACTGAGAAGCTGCTGGAGGCGAACACTACAAGTGAGGAAGCGCCCGTGTGCTCATCAGCTGCAGAAAAGCTGAAACAATGGTGTCCATCTGTTTCTGAATGGCCCCACCTAAGCATCTCGTCCCACAGACGCAAGCACCTGCACAGTGGAGTTGCCAACCCAGATTTCCTGAACGGTTCCTCCATCGGACACATTGGCATGTTCAAACAGGATCCAAGCTGCAAAGAGGTCTACTCAATTGACAGGTCAATAAAGCAATCAGTGATGTTTTCCATACTGTTGTTACCAGCATTTCTGACCGGTTTAGGACATTATGTCATGCCTAAAGGCATCAGGATGCTATTGTACCAAGATTATCTGGAAACTTAACACTCTGTATTGGTGTATGTGACTAGCGGGTTGTAAAAGTGTCTGTACGTGGGCTGTGAATTTGTAGGTGGCCGTGAGAAGCCGGTAGCACACTGTCGTACGTAACTGCAGGGGGCCTGGGTGATCTTCCAATAAAACTGCTGAGGTTCAAGGCAAAAGGGGTCTTTCCTGACTGAACCCGGTGATCCATGTTGTGGCTGCCATCAAGACTTCCCAACACACCCAAAAACATCCCCATCCCCTTCCCTGCACGTCAACCAGAAAATCACCTCTCCTGCAGTCACATAACTAAGCAACCAGCAATGCAAACCTGTATATGTTTTCCAAGAAGTAAGAGTCACCACTGAGTGGGACTTGTTTTCTTGTCAGGGCATACAGAATGTCAAACTAATCACAAAAGGAAAGGAACTCCTCTACCTCCATGTAGGTAAAGCACTGCTAAAGCCCATATTTTCCAACAAATGAAGAGGACTAGAAACATATTTAGCTACGAATCTTCCATAGTGCAAACAGACAAGCATCACTGATGCTAGTAGGGCTTGCACCAGAGATGTTCACGGTGGATCAAACCCTTCCCCTGCTTCCTCACAACACAGACACCCCCCCATAGACCAATGCATCCCCCACTCACCCATGCCAAGACAGAAAAGGAGGGTTGCAAGGGACCCAAACTTCATATTAACTTTCATAGCGAATGAGGAAGAGCAGAAAAATCCAGCTCGCTTCACTTCTCACAGTGCCAACTTCAGAAATATCTCAGGCCTTCAAAACAGAAAGTGTTAGTTGCCCTGTAGTCACGGGGACAGTCAAAATTAGCCGAGGGAAAATGGACAATTGCTTATACTCGAAGTTTCTAATGTTCTCCTCCCTCCTTATAACATGTGGGATCAGATGTGCTTTCAAAGTCCATGAAGGGACTTGGAAATGGGACATTTCAGCACATTTCATTTTAGGTTGTTTATACTGCAAGGGACCCTGTGGCGAAGGGCTGAGGGGCTTCTGAACTCCATCTCGGTGCTTACCTGCTGTGGCTGATTTTGCAAAGAAAAATGGATCTTCTTGGCAAAGTTCCCCAGCAAAAGTGGCAGAGCTTGGGAGTCAGTTTACCACACAGGGACCAACTTGCTTCTGCTGGCATCCCCAGCCAAAGAAACACCACTTGCTTCGGGGAATTTTCATGTCCTTCTCATCTTCTCTGCCTTTTGTGGGAAGTTCGCATTCTCGTTTGCAATACATATTAAGTACTGTGAAATCTAGTCGCTTCCTCCCCTGCCCACACCACTTGAAACCACGGTTTTTTTGTGTGAAAACAAACTCCACTGAGAGCATCGTATGAAATTGGGACATGCGATTTCCACAGGACAGGCTGTTACAAGCCTTGCGCCTTTGCAAGAGAGCAATCTTAGGAAATCTCAGAAAGCTGTGATGAGTTTCCTGAAATACGTTGTGAGATGGAAGAACCCTGATCTGGATTACTGCAGTGGGACTGCTTTTGAAAATGTCCAGCTAGCCGAAAACAGAGCTGCAAGACTGCGAATGGAGAGTGGCTAATTCGATCCTACTGTACCGCTACTTCCCCATCTGTACTGGCTGCCACTGCATGTTTGGGTCCCAGTCAAAGAACTGGTATTAGCATTCAAAGCCCTGGACTGTTTGGGAGCAGGTTGCCTGATCACCTTTTCTCATAAATACTTGCCCAGAACCCAAGACCTTCCTCAGAAATTCTGCTGAAGGAAGTGAGGTCAAGAGGCTTTTCCGTGATGGCACCCTCACTGCAGAACGAGCTGCTCAGAGGTGCAATCCTGGTACCTTGCATGGCATTGTGCTCCTTCTGGACCACGATGAAGGTCTCCGTATTCTCCCCGACGTGTTAGCTTTGTTTTAAATCTGTTGCTGTAATTGAAGTACTATTAGCATTGCCACTAGTTTGGTTTTTGCTTTTCTTTTATACTGATGTTTTAACACATTAAACTTTCATACTGTGTCTTATGGTGTATTTTGTGGTTGTGTTGGGAAGCACACAGGGAGTTTTGACTATTGGGTGGTTTAGAAACGCAATTTAAAACACACGTAAGCACACATACAGTGAATATTATGGGAGTGAATTTGCGTAGGACCTTACCTTTAGTAGAGCTGTTTCTGGAAAGGAGGACCCATAGCCCTGCTTTTTAATGGGCTAATGTCCTGCTTTAAACACTTAATTTTAGTGAGGTTCTGGAAGGCTCTCTTTCATTGATTAACCTCCTCTTGGTAACTGCTTTGAGTATATTTTTTTAAAGGATTATTCTTTTTGGCTAAGTGATCCAGCCAATCAGAGAACAAGTCACCAGTATCACACGATCATCACACCATATGGATTGGCCATATGAAATAGTGAAGCCAAATTTTTTTGCTTCCATCTTAACAGAAGAAAACTTTCATCCCACATTTCAGCCCTCCAAAATTATCTCTAAAACCGAAGGGAGTGTGTTTCATAAGGACTTTTTTCATGGCCACCTTCTACTCCCCTTTTTTGCCTGTCTTACTAATTAATTTTTGTTGTGAACTACTAACATTTGGGGGCTGATATACAGAGCACCTCCAGATGCTAAAAGGGTTAAAGCTGGGATAAGAAACGTGAGCCCCTCAGGATGAGCTGGACCCCCAGCTCCTGGAACCGTGATAGGGGTTGCAAGTTCAACAAGATCGAGACAATTGTTCGAAATAAATTATTATTAATAACCAAGGAGATAAGAAAAGGGTCCGTAGAAGCTCTTCCAGAGCAGCCCAATGAAATATTTATGGGATGAGATTTCATGGACAATTGTGGATGCTTCAGTGGGTTTCCTGTAAGACCTCTTTATTAATGATGGCAGACAAAGAGATGATTACATAGGAGGGAAGTGGGGAGCAGATTACTACATGATTACAGAACGGCTCATCCGGTGGTTACCACAGCATGTGTTTCTGCTCATACACTCCCCATGAAATTTCAGGTTGCTCCAACACTACAGCAGCATTGCCACATCTGTGCAAACTTCACAGAATTTTTCTCCTCCCACCCTGACTTAATCAGATGCTCAGATGAAGATTAGGTTGCAAGTCAAATGCTTTTGTGGGGTATTTTGTCCTCCTGTTCTCCTCCTCTTGCACATTCTCCAACTGCAGTGCTAGTTTGCGGTTGGCAGCCTATGGGCCTAAACCCTTCATTTTTCTGTCCCGGATCCACCCATTCCATTCTCAACATGACAAAAGCAGACCATTGGTGCATCTCGGGGGCAACACGGGCCTTTCAGGACTTGCACCACAAAGACAGGCTTGGAGACCCTGAGGCCAGGCTCCGAGGTCACAGGCTATGTTGGGTGTTCAGAACCAGGGACCTGAGATAAGCACAACTGGTAAATAATGAAAGCTGGAATCCTTACGGATCAATGGCCAGGCATAACCCATTGTCCCTTGAAAAGATTAGGCAAAACAGCCTTGCAAGGATGACCTCCATGGTCCTGAGACACCTGGGAAGCCTCCCCACACACACAGACAAAGGGCTCACCTTTGCCCCCACGCAAAACAGACATGGAGCAGACAGCAACAGATCAAGTCATCAAGCACAATCACGCATGCATCCAGCCACTGGCATCAGCTTGGGAAAGAATGGGAATCCCACTCCCATAGAAGCAGGTACAGAAAGAGCGTAAGGTCCAGGGGCTTAGAAAAGGGAGGTGGGCAACTTCTGAACACAGAACTGACAAGTCGGCCTGAACATGGACTTCGTGCGCCCCCTCCTGCCCACGCAAGGGACTTGTGCCAAGGTCTGTGCAGCATCACTGGCAAACAGGCAGCAAACTATTCCCTGCCTGTGCCTGTTGGTCTCTCTGTCTCGAAGGCTGTTACACAAAAAACCAATCACTTTCGAAATACAGAGTAAGTGTGGGCGGCAGTAACAGCAGCTGCAGTGTCGACCACATCAGGTTAAAAGCTTGTACTGCTCTGCATTTGCTGCTGAATAAACTTTCCTCTGCTTTCTAAGTGTCGAGTGTGAATGCAAAACCAGGATGTACTCTCTCTGGCAGCAGGGAATAAATCCTTTGGAGGGAATCTAACAGGCAAGGACCTTCTTTTGGGGTGCATTGCTCCCCCAACTTACCTGGCATAACCGTGGCGACTTTGTGGTAAATTCTGGAGACCTATTTTCACACACCTGATGTACACAAGGAATTCAGGGGTGCAGCAGCAGCAACAACGGAATCCGGGCTCCATTGTCATCTCTTCCGACGTTAAGAGTCGTTTTAAACATGCCTTAACAGTGGAAAAGCATCGTGCAAATAATGTGATGATGATGAACGATTCCAGAACCGCGACATCTCCGAGAAGTACTATTATTTTTCATTTGTTAATTTGTTTCATTTCTATACTGCCCAATAGCTGAAGCTCTCTGGGCAATTCAGGCAATCGTGGCCGCTTGGAGAGCAGAAACACAAAACAGGAGCAGTGACTATTCGGCTTTGTTTACTCGGTTCATTTCAGTTTTGCTTCGTTCTGGTGACACAGAACATCTTGATTATTTCATTCTACTGTTCCATTTATGCCGTTTATTGAATTGTCTATTTTATTATTTTACTTTCATCCTTCAACAGGTTTTGTAACAGTTTCCTCCTAAACATGGCATGAATCCAGCCCCTCGTGGGAAAGCAACATGTAAATAAATTTAGTTAAAATAACTTTCTTTTTACTCTTCTGAAATTTATCCAAGGTCTTTCTAGTTGTTTAAGGTTTGCTGCTGCATCTGGTTTGTGTCAGTCAGGTTTGGAATTGTTTTAACTGCCTAGAGAGCTTCAGCTGTGGGGCTGTATAACTACGCAAGAAATAAATAATAAATAAAAACGCCCTTGGGGCTTATATGCTGCAGGAAGAACAGTGAGTCTCCAGATGTTTTGGACTTCAATTCCCAGAATTCCTGCCTGTTGGCAATGCTGGCAGGGGCTTCTGGGAGTCAAAATCGGTGGGGGGGGGGGACACTAGAGATCTACCTTCTGTCACTAATGTATTGTACTTGCAAACATCATAATCCCTGTATTTTGCTCTAGTTGTAGTAGCCTATAGCTGCAGACCAGCATCCCTCAACCAGCACCTTCCAAATCTATTAGACTACAGCTTCCATCATTCTCAGCCAGCACATACATACTAAGAATAATAAATTAATTCACAGCTAACCAAGCCTGTTTCTACCTGGCATTCCAAATCTTGTTTGACATCTACCAAAATGGGCTCTGGACAATTCTTGCTAGCTGTGTAAAATTCAACTGCTGACAAAGCAGCATCACGTTATAAAACATAACCGTGTTGCACTAATTTAACCATTTCCAGGTCTCACTAGTTCCAGCGCACCAAAGCCGGATTCCCCCAAGCCCAGGAGCAATAAACACACAGGCTGCAGCAACACTAAATGAGGAGGAAACAGCACCGAGGTGCCTGGGGTGAGTCACCAAAGGACCTGAAAAGGACCGTCTCAGATTTCACTCTCAAAGGCCTTCATGAGGACCTTCTGGGAGTCCGCAGCCAAGTCTTCCAGGCACTGGCTCAGCATGGAGTAGGTAGTGTGGAAGGAAATGCCGCCAGCTGCCAGGGCTCCATAGATCGGGATGCGGTGCAGGAGGAAATTTGCCATCACCAGGCCTGTGCCAGTGGCCTTCCCCAGCAGCCCGATCACCACGTCCTTGTTAATGCTCCGGCCCAGAGTGCTGTGTACTTCTGCCCTCAGCACCTCCAGGGGTTTTCCTGAGCGCTCGGCTAACCGGGCCAAGGATTCTGCATCCAGGCCGAAATCCTGCCGGTAGGTGGACAGCTTCCTCAGCAGAATGGAGACATCGCAGGTGAAGGCCAGGCCTGGCAAAGGGACAGCGGCCACCAAGCTGGAGATCAACGCGACCTTCCAGACTTCTTGGTGAAGGAGCTGCCTCTTCTTCTCTATGATGGAGGAGGAGACATTGGGCAGGGACAACAGGAAAGCGTGGCGCTTATGGCTTGGCAGCTCTTGCTCCAAGGTTTCCTCGAAGGCTTGGAAGTCGAACTTGTTGATCTCAAAGCTGCTGAGTAAGAAGACCTTGGCATCTGCCAAGCCGGCCTTGGCAAGCTTCTCCCGGCAATCGTTCCTGATCTGCTGTAAGACCTCCTCTTCCGGCGGAGGGTTCTTCCTCCTGGACGTGGCATCGAGGTCGTTGTCCAGCTTGGTGCGTACAAAGTAGAACCGCTTGCCCTGTCGGACGATGGCCTGGGCCAGGCGGACATGGTTCTCCTTAAACCGCTCCGAGGCCAGGATGACAAAGAAGTCGTAGCGAGAAAACTCCACTGCTTCCAAGTAATTCTCGGCTTGGAATCTGGGTGTGCCGATGCCGGGAAGGTCCCACAGGATGACGTTGGGATGGCCAGGATAGGGATACTGCATGGGCTGGGCCGTGGTCTCTGTCACCCCCGTCGCAGCTGCTCCCTCGTCCTCGTCACTCACGCCCCGCAAGGCATTTACAAACGTGGATTTCCCGGCGCCCGACTCCCCAGTGATGGCAATATCAAGCTGGGCATTCCAGATGGTCTCCAGACTGCACTGAATACGTGTCACCACTTCCGAGAGCCCTCCCAGCTCATAGGCCTCCTGGATCTCCGCAATCTCTCGCTCGCTGATCACTTCAAAGTCCAGTCGGATGGGCTTCAGGACCCTGTGGAAAGGAAGAGGGCAAGGTGAGGGGTACGAACCTGGATTAATATCGCAGGACTACATTAAATACTAGGATGGGCAAACTGAAGAGCATGTCAGCCTTTAAGCTTCAGGAGTGTCTCCACTGGAAGGAGTGTTGAGGTCTAAGAGGCCTGAGCCAGCAGCCTTTCCCCTGAAAGAGAGACCTAATGAACATCAGCCAGAAAACCCTTTTCACAACCCAGCAAGGGGAAATCAAGGGCCCTGCCCCACCCGTGCACTCTGGACAGAGAAAATTAAACTAGAGGGAGCAGTCCGGCATGGAGACCTCTGGGGCCGGGGGAAATGCAGCTTCCAGTAGAAGAGGATTAAAAGACAATATGGTGTAGTGGTTAAGCGCATGGGTCTGAGACTCAGGCAACCGGGGTCCTAGTCCCTCCTCAGGCACGGAGCCAACTGGGTGACTTCGGGCCAGCCACAGACTCTCGGTCAATCCTACCTCACAGGGCTATTGCTGTAGGGATAAGATTGAGAGCAGGAGGAGAATTATGTAAGCCACTTTGAATTCTTTTTTAAAAGAGGGGGAAGTGGGATATAAATCTAGCTAATTAACAAAATGTGGGTGGGGGAGAGGAGTAGAAAAGTTCCTCTTTTGGGGCAGGCAGTGGATGGCGCACCACAAAAGATGCAGGGCGCTACTTTGGAAGATGAAGCACCCAGAAAGCAGCAACTTACTGAAGCGGCACAGGAGAAAGGGCTGCTTAGCTGTCTGAGAAGCTTCCATGCAAGACGGTCTTATCCACGGCGATGGCCGTGCCATCTAGAGAGACAGTCCACGTTTGGAGCTTAAATACCTCTGGATGCCCACCGCTGGGTACCCAGCCCTCCTTCCCGGCTTGAGGTGCCTCACCAAGCCCAGTGCAGGAAACGGAGCGCTGGAGAGGGTGGCCCTCGGGTCCAACACGGCCCCAGTCGCACCCTGGCTCTTTTATTACCATATTTATACCCCATCCTGCAAGGAACCCAAAGCATCTTACATGATTCTTCTCCCCCTCTGCATTTTATTCTCATAACAACCCTGTGAGGCAGGTCAGGCTCCCAGCTGACAGCTGGTCCAAGGCCACGCGGGGCCCTTCAGGCTAAGGACTCGGTTCTCCCGAGCCCCAGCTCAGCACGACACCCCGCCAGCTCTCGTCCCTTTCATCAGCCTGTCTTACTCACCCCTCAAACTTGCGGACGTCCTTCAGCAAAGCCTCTCGCAGCTGGGGGCAATCCAGTTCGTAGGGCTCGAAAGCAGAGAGCAGGAACACAGGCGCGTCCCCCAGGCCATGGGCCTGCAAGGACTCCGCGCAGACCCCCCGTAGGGCCCCGAGAGCCTCGGCGCGGTCGTAGCTCTTGCCCATCAGGCGCTTGAGGGTGTGCAGCTCCAGGTCCGCCTTGCTGCGGGCGAAATAGGCCTTCTTGCCGGCCGCCTGGATCTTCCCGGCCAAGTGGGCGTGAGTCTCGTCAAATTTGCCGTCCGCCACCACGACAAACACATCTGCCTCCCGCAGCCATCGGTCCGCCTGCCCCTCGCAGTCCAGCGGCAGCTCCCACAGCAGCACGTTGGGATGGGACGGGTCCTTGTACATCACGGTCCCCCCCGAGTTCGCCGGCCCACCCACGGGAGCAGCGCCAACATCATCCTCCGTCATTCCCCGCAGGGCATTCAACAGGGCTGACTTGCCCACCCCCGATTTGCCCACAAGGAGCACCGAAATGTCTCCCGGCTCAGGGGACCCCAAAGAGGAACTCTTGGGGATCTTCGGAGGCATTCTGGGTGCAGAGGAACAGGGCTTCTCCTCAGAAAGTTCTGTGGAAATATAAGGAAAAGGGAAACATGAACCAGAAAAAGAAAACGTTATTCAAAGGCTGCGATCAACCTACCCCTACACTGCAACCCGAACCTGAAGCCGTCCTCCTGCTGCCCCCCCTGCGGGAGGCTCAGAAAGTGACGACAACAGACGGGCCTCCTCCGTTGCAGGCCCCAACTGTGGAATGATCCCCCCTGCCCCCGCCACCAACACTGTCATCTTTTCGACACCAAAATACTTTTTAGTGCTTGACAGCATATGATGGCGCTTTCGTGTCAACTGTTTGATCAGATCCTAGCATTTTTGATCACTGTTATGGCTGTTCTGAATTGTTTCTAAATTTTGCATTATGTTTTATCACGTTGCGTCGTGATTTTTGTGAAGCACCAAGTGAGATTTAGCTATGGGATGGCATTGAAACAACGGAAACGCAGTGAAAAAATCGAACACAGTCTCCTCCAATCAGAGTGTAATCACAGCATAAAGCAACCAAAGAGAGAAAAATACTCAAAAGGAAAATAAATTACTCAGTGATTTTCTAAACACTGCCCTATATAACTTTGCTATCAGCTACTATCTTAACAGGGTCTTTTTAATGTATAATTTTGGTTTTGTTGTTTATTTGGTTTTATATTTTGTATTGCTAACTTTTATGATGTATTAATATGCCTTAATTGGTATATTTTATATTGCATTTAAATATGCTACCCAGAGAGCTTCAGCTATTGAGTGGTATTGAAATTAAATAAACTAGCACTATCTGTGCATTTTCTAAAGCATCACACAAATAGACTGCACAGGCTCGATGGCCTCCCGATTTGCATTCTCCACTCTTCTGATCCTTCATGAACATAATATATTGATTTAAAGGAGCTAAATAGCAAGCTGGCAAATAGGAGCGAAACTGCCGCAAAATAGCAAGCTGGCAAAAGGAAGCAAGGGGTCAGCAGATCAGAGAATACATGCAAAAGGGAAAGAGATGAGCACAACTTGACTTCAGACAGCAGAAAGCCACCAGCTCAAGATCTATCAAGAATTCTCTTTTCCTAGCATCAAGGAGAAAAGTACTGCTTCAAAGTCAACAAACCAGGCCCCGCAGATTTCATTTCCACGAGGTTGCTGTTAAGTGCAGTGGGTGGAACGGCGTAAACTAGCGACCTGCAGCAGGAGGAGGTTGGAATCGATGGCCTTGACTCCTCCCAACTCTATTATTCAGTGATCCTACGACTCGATCCCCCCGGCAAGGCCAAGCCAGGGCAAGGCCAAGGGTGGTCCCTTTCAGCCCCGGCCCAGTTGGCGCATGCAGGCGGGGCCACTTCCACCCTACCTCGGCTGAGCCCCGCGACCCTAAAGCCAAAAGGGGCGCCCGCGCCCGAGCGCCGGGTTCGGAGACGGCCTCGCCCCGAGATGGGCCGCCTGGATCGCTGCGCAGACACGGACGAACAGGATCAGTCTGTGACTGCGCAGCCGCGCGCGGTTCCTTCGTCACGGGTGATGCCTGTTTTGAGACACAAATGCACGGGCGGCGGCGGATCGGCACATCGAGGGAGAAGAAAAGGACCGCGCAGGTGGGCGCGCAGGTAGGGACGGACCCCGTCGGCGCACGCGCCGCGCTTCGAGGGGTGGAGGTCTGGAGGGGCGAGATCCTCCGATCCCCTTGTCGGATGCGCTGGCTTTTTGCCCGCATGTACCTCCCCCCGCCCCACAGACACACTCGCCATCTTTCCACTCGAGAGGCTTCCCCGCAACCAAGGTCCCCGTCCCCGCTCCGTACATCCCTTCCTTACCGGTCGGGGTATCCTTGGAAAACATACCCACGCCTTAGGGCAAAGAGAGACCAGCCAATGCAATCGCGGGGCGCGGGCTCGCACCCGGACCCCTTCGGTGTGTACCTACCCACGGCCAAGCGGCGGCGCGCACCGCGGGAGCTCTCGCTCGCCCACGTCCCGGCGACGTCCTCTTCCGCCGGACTCTTTGGCATCTCGTCCCCGCGCCGCCTCCGGCTTGGCGGCCATCCCGTCGAGAGGAAGAGGAGGAGCCGCCGTCGCGTCCTGCATGTCCTCCTCCTCCTCCTCCGCCACGAAGGTTTCGCTTTCGCGGCGCAGGAAGGAGCGGGCGAGGCGCACAAGGCCTTGCGCGCCCCCCCCCCCCGCATTTCTCCGGTAAGGCTTGGGCGCAGGGGGGCGGCTAAGAAGGGCCTGCTAGGCAGGACGCCTGGGTTCCCCCGGAGAGAGGGGTCGGCTAGCCAGCGCTGGCTTTTGCAGCAGGAGCAGTTAACTGCCCACGGAGAAAAGCCCCCGGAGCCCCCCGCGGAGGCGGAACGGTGGCAAAGCGTCGGCCCGGCGAAAGGCGGGGGCCCTTTCCGTGCCCTCTGCGCAGAGGAAGGCGGCGGGAAAGGGGACGGGAGCGGCCCGGAAGCCACAGCTGGGCCATGCCCTTCATTAGGCCCAGCGCGCCCCCCGGAATATTCTATAAACTTAAATTTAAAAAAAAAACCACCACGAAATAGGAGCGATCTTTTCACTTCGCTGAATTCTTTAGCCGGCTGGGTGGTCGCCAGAGCTGGAATGCAGGCTTTGGCGTTGACGGGGTCCTCGCTGTGAAGTGCGTACCCAGGGCGCATAGGGCAGGCTGGCTGGCTGGCTGATATTAGGACCCCATTCTGTGTCTCCGCAAACACGAAGAAGCACAACGTGGCTGGTTTGAGCTTGCCGAGTCGAAAGATTTCTTCCCTTATTTTTAGTAAACGTGGTAGGATTGCCTGCTTGATCTGCTAGGGGCTGGAGAGGCCACAAGCTGTGCTGATCTTTCTCCAGCCTGGTTCTGCGGGAAGTCCATGAAATTCTGGAGGAGAAGGGATTTTGCCCATCCCAGACTGGGACACCTTTTCTGAAGGATTAGGCAGATTCACCGAAGGTGAAGCTTCTGTTAGCTGCAGTGATACGCTTCTTGGAGGCTCAGAATCAACATGTCTGAACACCAGTTGCTGGATGGTGGTGTTACCTTGAGGTCCTGCTTCTCTGACTCTCACCATGGCATTTGTTGCCCAGGTGAGAACAGGATGCTGAACTGGATGGGTTTCTAGTCTGACCTAGCAGGGTCGTTGTTATGGTGTGTTCTGATGACTCTGTGGAAAGGGAGCAAAGGAGTTTTGACAGACCTTTATAAGAGTGTTAGGAGCAGCAAATGCTGATTTTCCTGGGACTCCTGTGAAGGTGACGTCACCTGTTGCTTATCTGTTCTGAAGGAAGATCTTTCCTTCTTCCAGGTTCTTTTCCCTGATGGCAGAGTCCCGGGCAAGGGTGCACAGACAGACTGAGCTGAGGCAGGGCAGGGCGGAAGAACCCACTAGCTGGGCCAGAGTCAGGGTTGTGGCCAAGAATCAGGCCAAAGTCAGAAAGAGGGAGTGCTTTTCAGAACAAGGACAGAGCATGCTCATGAATGAGCCAGAGGAAATAAACAGAGCAGTCAGCAGGTACCTGAGGCAGGTGCCAGGTGCGATTCAAGAGCAGCAGAAGGTGTGGCAGAGCAATGCAGCAAGGGGCAGACAAGATGCGGCTGGACCGCCCCACGGGCAGCAACACCACCAGCATTGCTGGGAAGCCTGTGGAGGGAAGAGCTTGTTCCCAGTTGACACCCATTGAACTACTGAGACCTCCAGCAGGGCCTAGGCCTGGCCTTGCAGTTACTAGTTGTGGCCACCAGATGGCGATCTAGAGCTGCCCAGATCCTGGCAACTGGATGCCCTTACTTTGAGCTTGGCTGGATAGGAAGTTTCGTTTCTTAGTAGCCTGAATTGTTGTTGTCCTTCTTTTGTCTCCTCACCGTTGAATTGTAAGCCTGCAGGCAGTATTTTAACTGTGTGCTGTACCTGGCAAATCTCTGACTTTTGATCGCTCTCTCCCGCTTACTGCTTGCATCCAAGTGGAAAACAGTGGCACTGTTCTTTCAGAATTGTGACAGCAGGAAGTGTTGAATTCTTTGAAAGAGGTTAAAAGTGCAGAGTCGGACCTGACTGAAATCAGGTGACTTAATGCTGTGAACCATGCAGAGCGCTTCAGCTACGGGTAGTAGTATAGAAACTTAATGTAATAATAGTAATCAGGCCTTTGAGGTTGCCTTCTTGGAAATGACATGCGGCTTTTTTCTTCTCTACTTGTGGTTAAGATTATTGGTTTCCGCTTTTGCCGAGATCCATTCACTGCTCAGCACGTGTCAGCAGAGCAGGACTGCCACCTCTTGATCTTAGTAAGACTCTAGTGCTTTAAAAGAACTTTACCAAGGCCAGAAATCTGGCAGGTTCAGGATGGGTGGGTTGCCCTGTGACTCTCTTTTGTGCTCCTCCAGAGCAGCATGAAGTGTCCCTACAACTTGGTTGGGAAAGAGATTTCTTAATGTTTCTTACTGACTTCTTTATCCAATTTTTCACACAATTACAGTCTCCCAAAGACGCTCGTATCAAAGGAGGGAAGGGAGAGAGGCCATCAGGTTGGCAAACAGAAAAGTCAAGGCATGCAAAGGGCGGGCAGAAGGACAACATTAAAACAAGGTGGCAAATTATAAGGAGCGACTGAAAGCCTCTTCAGGCCATGCAGGTTGTCTCTTGCTGGTGCTTTTGCTAGTAGAGCATTTGGTGGCTATTTGGCCAGTACCTGAATGTTCTTCCCTCTTACTTTGGCAGTCCTGGGACAACACGAGGAGGGGCAGGCAAGCTTCTTGCAGCTGCTCCTCTGGCTGAGGGACAGACCAAGTTGGTCACCTCCTTGACTTGATGTTTTCTTGGGACCCAGGAGATGCAGCCCCCTCTGGCGCAAATCCCCCAGCTGATGGCAGAGGGCAGAATGCGCTTCTCTTCTGCTTTCCAGCCAGTTTCAGGAAATCCTTCATGGATTTGTTCGGAGACAGAGCTTAGTATACATTTGTGTACGTGAATGAAAAAGAGCGAAACGGACAAGTGGGCGTATTTCCTGAGGATACTGGCATTGTACACTGAGAACTGCACGTACCAAGCACGGCGTAACACTTCTCTTCCTTCTCTGCGTAGCCTCAACCATGGCTGGTTCCCCCTGTCTGGACGAACTGCAGCTGAGGAAGCTGAAGGACCACTATGAGGCCCAGAAAGCCGAAAGCTCTGCCTCCAAGATCCAGGAGTTGGTGGACTGTGTGACCAGCCTTCAGGTCCAGGTTGGGATCCTGGGCGAGCGTGGCGCTGGGGTGACCACGCTGATCCAGGCTCTGCTGGACAAGCCACGCCGGGTGACGGATCCCTGGGCTTACTTCCGGGAAGCACCGCAGCCCACACAGCAGCCGGTTGCCCACTGCCACCCCACATACCCCAACCTGACTCTGCACGACCTGCCGGGCTTCCAAGTATCTGAGAAGGCAGCTGCCTACCTGAAAAGCTTGGGCGACCTCAGCAAATACAGCTGCTTTGTGGTGGTGGTGGGGAATGGCGGCCTGAGGGAGACCCACCTGCAGATCCTCAAGGCTATCAAGCAGAAGGGCAAGCCCTTCCTCCTGGCCCGCACCAAGGTGGACCTGGACCTGCACACAGCTGAGCGGCGGCTTCGGTTCCGCTACAGCGCCACTGAGCAGCTAGGACTGATCCGGAAGGAGCTGGTCAAGGATGGGATGGACAGCAAGACGGTTTTCCTGGTGTCTGGGCTGGAGCCGGAGAAATACGAGTTCGACTGCTTTGAGGACCGCCTGGAAGCAGAGGTGCTCAACTTGAAGAGGTGAGGAAGGAACTGCGGTAGGGGGAGATACCTGGGTTGTGTTGGGGTTTCTGGGTTCTCTTCCAAGGGTTGGCATGAAAAGATGGTGAGCTTGCCCGGAGAAGTAAACTAACAATGGATTCATTTCAGAGGATTTTGATACTGCAGTATGTTTTTTCAAAAAACACGCCAAAGTGGTCTACAGGATAAAGTCATAATAAATAAAATGAATCATTAAAACAATAACACAGTGATAAACATAACAACTTGCCAAAATAATCCGAAGTAGCTAGCCATTGGGGAAATGCTTGGTTTTCGGTTATTGGCAGAAACACTCTGCACTGGGAACTCACTTGATTTTCATGAGATCAGGCGGCATGGTTAGTGCTACACTGTACAGGCTTTTGTACATACCTTGCCCAAGGAGCCTCGTAGACCAGGATACAGTAAGTGAGGCCTCCTCCTCAGAAGATAGAGGTTGGGGCAGCCTGTACAGGAGAAGTGAGTTACAGAGTAAATTATAAAAAGCCCACAAAAGAGGATTCCTGTCATATCCCTGGATGAGTCACTGTTCTGGCCTTTCATTCATCCTCTACTGATGGTTCTAACACACTTGTGCCTGAGGTACGATTGGATCATTCACTTGCTACTTGCTGCTAATGAACCAGTACTGCCGGCCCCCAGAAGAGCCTTCCCATTGCGTCTCTGCATGAATCCCTGCACTTGATTTGTCACCTTCCAGTAAGGGAGCCTAGCCAGCAATGTCGAACTTTACATTACTCCATTTTTCCATGGATACTTTTCCACTTTTAGAAATATATTGTTCCCTTACTTTCCAGTGTTTATGCTAAGAGTGGCTGCTTTTATAGTTAAAATGGTTCAAGTTTACAGAAGTACAAAATATATTTAAAAAAGAATCCTAATGGGAGTGACACCCACATTGCAAAACAGCCCAAGGATAGTGATGTAATGCATAAGGACAATATCTGTCAAATTGGGCAACTACAAATTGGGACAACTACAACCTTCCAGTCTACAATCAAAGTGGTAATTGGCCTTTTTCCAGTAAACTTTTTCTAGGAAATTCCCCCGTTTTTCAGGTATCCTAAATGTAGTGTGCGAACAGGGGCTAGTGCCTTCGCATACTTTTTCTCAGAAGCCAAACACTGCATGTTGCTGAGTTAGCAGTTCTCAAAATATTTACAAGTATTCTGTAAAATGTTTACAAATAAAGCTTTGGATGTGTATGGCTGCAACCTGCAAACCACACTAGAAGTGCATTTTGGTACAGGTCCCCCCAAGGGCTTGTTCACTGCAGGGGCACTGAATTCGCGACCATTTCAGATAAGTATGTCTAACAGACACGGGCAACTTCCGAGGATGAGGGGGCTGCAGTCCCTCCTCCACTTCTTGCCTGGTGTTACAACAGCAGCTAGACAAGCTGTTTTGTTTTGGAACAGTTTCCCCCGTTTTTTTTTTTTTTTTTGCTACCAACATGCTGCTGAAATTTGGCTACAACCACTAATCTTACTAAAAATGGTCTTTTTCCCCCTGCTGTCATAACCCCAAAATGCAGGGGGGGGGGAGATGCTCAGGCCATAGAATGGGGGCATATGCAGTCTGTGAGTCATATCTTGCCCACCCCCAGGGTATGTGATCACAGCTTAAGTGCACTTTTCCCTATTTTCTCCTGAATCAAATTTCAAATAATGTGTGTGTGGGGGGGGGGGGATAAAATTTGTGCAGCTTGTAAAAATAACTATACTTCTTGGCATTTACTAAATAGAAATCCAGACCCATGTCAGTCAAATTTAGAACAGTGGAAAGCATTCCAGAAAAATTTTCTGCAAAACTTCCCAATTTAAAATGTTCCAGAAAAGCACATCTCTGAACACTCTCGGTGGACTCCCTCACTTAAGAAACCCAGTCAGTAGGTTCTGAATCTGAATTATGATCTAATGGAGAGCCGTTACTCTGACTAGAGAGACAACAGTTACTAATGGGCCACTGGCTCTTGGTTCTTTCTAGAAGCCATGACGGAAACCTCGAGGACTTGGCGGCAATGAGTCAGAAGAAGATTACGGAGCTGTATGAGATTTGCCAGTCTGGCAGCTTGTCTGATGTCCCAGCTGTGCTCCATTCAGCTTTGGAGAACCCTACCCAAATCCGGCTGGATGTAGCTGTGATAGGCGAAGCTGGTTCTGGGAAGTCCTCGCTAGTCAATAGCCTGAGAGACGTGGGGTGCGGGGAGCCAGGGGCAGCCCCCACTGGGATAACTCAGGCCACGAAGAAAGCCACTCCCTACCTTTTCCCCGCTGTCCCCAACTTGTACCTGTGGGACCTGCCGGGAGTCGGAGTGGAGGAGGAGGATATAAGCCGCTTGGACCTCAGCTGCTACGACTTCTTCCTACTGGTGGCCTCTGAGCGTTACAAGCACGTCCACAGCTGCCTGGCCAGGGCCATTGTCTCCGCAGGGAAGCAGGCCTTCTTTGTGAGGAGCAAGACTGACGTGGATATGGAGTCCCTCCCTGGAAGCCAGGCCAAGCCCACAGAGGAGCTGGAGGAGCTGCAGGAAGAGATGCGGAAGAACTGTGTGGATGCTCTGAAGAAAGATGGCATGGACTCTCCACGCGTCTTCTTGGTCTCCTGCCTCAGAAAGCAAACCTATGACCTTCCTCTCCTCCAGGAAGCCCTCAAGAACAGCGCTACAGACCTGAAGAAAAAGGTTCTGAAGCAAGTCATCCCAACCGTCTTGTCCCGACTGGTGAGGCGGAAGTCCAAAGTGCTGATGAAGGATGTGTGGGGAAAGGCCCTGCACATATGCCTCTTCTGTGTGGAAAACCCCAAGGCAGCTGTGGCCGAGAACATCATTGCGACCATCACTGGCTTCTGCACAGTCCTCGGCCTGGACGAAGCGTCCTTGGGGCGCATCGCACAGGCCTGCAACACAGCGGTCCCGCAGCTTCAGGCCCAGGTCCAGAGCCGCTTTGCTAAGCCGCTGGACTCCGACTACGTGCTCAGTCTCATCACCAAGCCGACCTCGCTGATCGACCGGGCGTGGGGCTACGTGCCGTACTGGGGACAGGGGAAAAAGGCGGAGCCAGGGATCTCCTTTGAGTCCACATACGGCATGTTGCAGCAGGTTGTGGTGGAGCTGTCTGAGGATGCCAAGAAGGTGCTGACGATGGCATTTGTGAAGGATTAGAGCTGGGATGTGGCAGCCGTAGCAACACCCACATCCTCTCTTTACAGCATCACCTATCGAGGATAAAAGAACAAGAGAACTATCCCGGAGATGAAGGATTTCTCAGCATGGTGTCCTGACACACACGTTAAGACTGAAACAGGAAGCATCAAGCACCTGAAGTTCTATGCCTTCACTGAGGTGGGTGACGCCATTCTGACCTTTTGAGCCCAGGAATTGGATGCAGAAGCAGAGGCCTGGCCCTTGCTCAGACAGGAAGCCATCCACCAGTTGTACCGCATCACCATCACTTGCTAGTGCTGGAGGGAGCCCATGGAACTCAGCATTCGTCTGTACACAGAACGAGACCTGCATGCTGGAACTTTGCTGCCTGGCATGCTAGTTTTCTGTGTGCAGGGAGAGAGCTGGCTTGCTTGCAGTAAGTACCCCAGTACAGCAGAGTTCTCCACCCCGAGCTGCACAAGAGAGTAGCTGGTAGCTCTGGCCTCTCCCATACCAAACCTGACTGGTGGGATGGCGGAGAGCAAGGCGCTGTCTGCTCCAGCAGCGGGACAGTGCAAGCCCTGGAGGGACACTCGGAAGGCACCCTTGGAACCTGCCGGTGCCACTCAGCTCGCACTGGGAAGGTGACCTCCTGAGTCAGCAAGCTGTTCAGCCCAGCTGTGTATGGAGAGACCTGCTGGCTCTTTACAGGGCGAGAGCCACCATCTTTTCCTGTTGGTACAAGAGACAGAAGAGGCATCACCAACTGTGGCATTTTGATTAATTGTAGGTATATGGCATTTTGATTAATTGTAGGTATCTCTATGAGCAGCTGCCATAATCCCTTACTAATTGTTTGTACAAAAATAGGGTGATACCTCTAGGGTGGAGCCAGAACAACTGTTTCTTCATGGGGCCTCCTTCCCAGCGTTTACGCGTCTAGCAGCAATGTACTTTTGCAACTCCGGAATCAGGGCTTTGGCTGATGCGGTTACAGCTATCAGTTTCCTATCCAATAAATAAGCATGTAAACCCATGGGAAATGTTGTATCGGGGGCAGCAGGAATTTCATTCTGGGGGAAATTCTCTTTACTTGGTTATTGTCACCAGACCTGTTGATTGGTCTCAAAATAATATAAAAATATGTAAAAATCACCTGCCCTGACTCCTTTCTTCTTGATATGGCAATAAGTGATCATAAACAATTGCAAAGTTATAAATGAAAGGTGAAACTCTATAGAGAATGTATAGTAGTCTGTTTGGAATTACCAAGAGTAGGTATATGGTTGTGGCAGACACACCCTGGGATACCTTGCTGAAACGCCCCACGGTCTATTGTGCACCCATTTTATGAAACCAGAATGCAAATTATGAGTGGCGTGGCAAAAACAGACATCAGGGCACTGGTTGGCGGCAGGATCCCTTCCAGCCTGCATCACCTGCTTGTCCTCATGAGCGCACACACACAGGCTGGGTGGCTGGAGCAGCTGGAGTGCAGCTGCATAGCAGGACTCTGGAAAACACATGCCCAGGTTCAGACAACATGCTAAGCCTTGAGGATACAGAAAAACCACAGAACAAACCTCTCTCTCTTATCCGGCTTTCTAAAGACCAAACTTGCTATGGTGAAATACAGCTGAATTCAAACAAAACAGACAGACAGTGGTTTAAAAAAACACACTATGGGTTGCTGTGCTGTCTGAACCGAGCCAGTCTCCGTCACTCTTATTCTGCTCCAACACTACTGTACGTTCATGATGCAAAAGTAAACATTGCTCTCTTGTCAGGAAATACCAACCTTTTACTGTTTCCCTATGAAAAACACGGACCTTTGTTTCATTTAAGGACTCACGATCACATTTTCAGAACATCAGAGGAAGTATGACCAAAGTCCAGGAGGTAGTCAGTGCATCCTTTTCCAGGCCAGCGCTTCCTGTCAAGGTGTGTGCCGTTTGCTGAAAGGCAACCGGGAACCTTTCTAGGTCACGTTTCAGTCACAGCTATACTACATTTCCTCGCTTCCAGATTCCAAAATGTGCTGGCTGAGAAAATGGTTTCTTCCAGCCAAAACGGCCATTGAGTGCTTTGGCTACTGGGCAGGACAGATGAGAAGGGCGCAGGCTGGGCTGAATGTGTCTCCCAGCGGGTGCCTGTATTACCTGGTAAAGAGCATCAACTCTTCTCACCTTGGGGCTGCACTTACTCAAGCATTTTGCTGCAAGTTCTTTGTCAAACTACTTCAGATGCTGAGCTTTGTGCTGCACGCCAGCACAGGAGAGCCTGTATAGTCCCTTCAGCAACAAATATTAAAGCTATTACAAATGACAAACGTGAGTAAAGTCTTTTGTCCCTCCCCCACCCACCCCACACATGCAAATAACATTCCACTATTCTCTTTAACGGGAAGAGTATCTTAAACTGATGGTTTATTTGCATTAGTGGAAGTAAGAAAAAAGTGCACAGTCTTTACAGTCCGGAAAGGATTTTATCGACAGAGAAAGAAACAGACTGTAAACTAATTTTTTAAAAACTGGAAATAATCCAGTAAGGTGCAGAAGAGAATTGGGGGAGCAGACCTGTACACCCATGGTGACATCCAGAGCAAGCCACTTGCAGCCCTCCTCATGTTTGGCCTGCAACTCCCCTCAGAACTAGCTAACATAGCCAATGGTAAGGGATCGTAGGAATTGTTGCAAAACTTCTGGAGGGCAGACGTTACCCAGCCCTGCTTGACATGCAGGTCTCAAGTTCGATCCACCAGATCACCACTTTAAATGGAACTTGATTCTAAGAACAATCAGCCTCAGAATCTTGTGAACTGCTGTCAGCTGGAGAAGACAACCATAGGCCTAAAAGATGGGCCCAGTATATAACAAACCAGTTTAAAGTTTTTTAAGCGATACAGCAATCCTGACAGCAAGTTTGCCAGTTCCACTCCTTTTCAGTGCTGACGAGAGAATGCTCAAGCAACCGACAAACCTATGTCCACCATTACCATGTTCCTTTAGACATTGACTCCAGGCTAGTTTTTAAAACTACAAGGTCACAGTGGTTATACTGGAGTGGTGGAGGAGGGGCTCAGTCCCAAAAGCCTAAATTAACTCCCTAGAATTTGCCAAACAGCCATGTCTTCTTCCACTGTTCCCCACCCCTCCTCCCAACACTGACAGTTTGTGGAAAAACTGCACAAATTCACCATTCCAAAGGGCTGAAACACTTCTCCTAAAGTTTAGTCCCAGACAGTAAGACCTTTAAACAATACTGGAAGAGTCTGCCCTAGATATGGAGGAAAGGAAAAGTATGCTACCTAGGAGAATTAAGCAGCAGGTGTAAAATCCCTAATCTCAGACTGAGCTATAATTTTGAAGTTTACATTTCTCCCACAGAGGAGGAGGAAAAAAACGGATGCCATCATTACATATGACAATGTCTAGATAGGTCACAGGATATGCTTCTTGCTGTGTTCACACAGCTGTAGGAAGGAATTTACACGGGGAAGGCATAAGCATATCTGAGCTGAATACAGGATTCAATATCAGTATATTGTAGGTGAAGGATCTGTTTCATCACCCTTTTCCTAAACCAAAGCTATGTCCACGCCCAAGTTTTTTTTTTTTTTTTCAAAAATTAATCCTAAGAAACCCAGGATTCTGCTTTGGGAATATTGCATTCAAGTGATGCGAGCGTGCCGCCCCTTCTTTCACAAAACTCGTGACGTCTGCATGAGCTGAGGGGAGTGGCAAAGAACTAAAGCAGCGCAGCTTGCACCTGGCCCCTGCCCCGTCACCTGGCTCCCAAGACAGGACAAAGCAGAGCACTGTCCACATTTCAAGCCTCTCTGTACAACCATTAAGCTCAAGTGGCTGTATGTGAAAAAAGACAACTGAGAATTTAAACGCTACCCCAGCTTAGAAAATTCTGCTGCGTGTCTATACAGGGGAAGGGGTGGCAATCAGTACACAAGAATGACACACAGCCCTGAGTTCCTTAGTGCCTTCAGGCAGATGACTCCCTTCCTTCCTTCCTTCCTTCCTTCCTTCCTTCCTTCCTTCCTTCCTGTTCTGGAAAAACGTATAGCCTCACCCAATAAGGCAAAGAAAAAAGCACCCAAAGAGTTGAACAGGGCTTCCTTGGCCAGAAACAAATCTGACAAAGAACTTGGTGTTTCTTAAAGAAGGAAGGGCTCCCATCCCCCGTACCCTCACACCAGAGAAGCAGCGCTTCTTTCAAGGAGATGATCCATTACATCCTCCCCTGAACCGGCCATTCTTCTTCACTGCAGCAAAGGTCTTTTGGAAACAGATGCCCTCTCCCTCCTTTCCCCAGCTAGAAAGGGACTTTCCATCACACTCCTTGCCTCATCCTGGCTTCACGTCTCACAGTGATGCTGATCATGCTCCTGTCTCCAGTCCTTGCTAGAGCTCCCCACGAGCATGGCGGATGTAGTGTTCGTGGAGCCCTGCCTCTTGGTTAAAGCTCTCTCCACACTCCATGCAGGAATAGGGGCGAGAGGGCAGCAACTCCTGGGTTTGCTGATGGAAAGCCTGATGCCGCCGGAGGTTTGAAAGCTGTCGGAAGCTCTTGCCACAGTCTGGGCACTGGTGAGGCAAGCTGTGGCCAGCAGCATGGCCCAGGCGGTGCCGCTGGTAGTTGGCTAACTGGCCAAAGCGGCGACCACAGTCAGGACAGTCAAAGGTCGGGTGCAAGCAGTCAGAGGGAGGAGCCGATGCATGGCCCCGTTGATGGCAGATGAGCGCACGAGAACTCTCAAAGGCCTTGTTGCAAATAAAGCAGACAAAAAGGGCATCACGGAGGTTGGCCTGAACAAAGTCTTCTGGGTGTTCCCGTTTCATGTGCCGCTCCTTAAACTTTTCATCTGGGAAGGTGATCAGACAGTGAAAACACTGATTGGCACCCAGACTGTCTGAAGGAAGGGAGAGAGAGAAAGAGCAAGGATCAAATGGGCTTGATAGATCTAGCAACATATTGAGAATATTTTGCTACTTCCTTTGCTATGAGGACAGTATATAAGCATATAATGCAAAACATGATTATATAAACAATTAAAAAATCGACTCTATAGAATGTCCCTGGAAAGAAAAGCATGGACTGAAAATATTGATCTTCCTGGCCAGTGAATTCTAAATAGATACACTTCTGCCTCACAAGTTTCAGACAACACAAAAAATGCAGTTTTAAGACAATGTTGTACAATGGGGTGGGCAATAGATAGATTAGGATCTGTTGGCACATCTCTTGGCAGTTTGCAGTAGACTAGCAAGGGTTTCTGACTGCCAATTATTTCATAGCAACAAAAATAAAATGGTTTTTCCCATGTGGGGCACCCAGGAATGAAAGGACTGAGAGTTCTGCTGCTGAAGACAAACTTTGCTCAAAATGTATAATATCTTTCGCACCTGGTTCTAGTTGGTGGATCTTGAAGTTATAATAAAATATTAACTGAGTCTGACATACCTGAGGTCTGCCCACCCATTGCTCATAAATACTAAGCAGGCATACCCTCCTACATTTCCCACTGCTACTGTCTCCTCTGCCCCAGCTTCTTTTAGGAGACATGAATGAAAAGAGGCAGCAGCCCAGGCTTACTCTATATTCCCTCCCCAGCAGGAAGGGTGAGAGGAGACAGAGGAACTGATGAGGAAAAAGGGTGCTACAAGCAGATTATCAGGATAAGAGTGGCATAGGTAAGACACAACTGAATCAATAGGCAGGTACTGCTCATCAAGAGGCTGTTGTTACTCACCTTTCAGTGAGCACTGCATTGAGTAAATGGCCTAAGTTTCTCTTCTACAGCCATGAGAACTACAAGCTTCCCCTCATTTAAAAAAATGAAAAGTTAAGGCATTCAGGGACTTGAGCAATACATTAGCTTTTAGGTATGAAGCTAAAACCAACTGTCTGCATGCAGAAAACCTTCAGGAACAAGTCAGATCCTTGTTCACATTTCAGAATGCCAGCAGAAAAATATATGCAGGGAAAGAAAATTATGCCTTCTACTGCTACTTTGTAAACATTTATAACTAACAGGACATTAGGCTCTGTAGGAAATCTTCTAAAAGCAAGAATCAAATGTAACACTCACAGATTGCATCACTGTTAGGGGAGTCTTTGCTCTTGCCATGTGCGCTTGGGCAGACCGCTGGCAGCACTGTAGGACCCTCTTCCTTTACACAGTTAGGCTCTGATTTGCAAGTTAGTAGATGCTCCGAGGGCAGCGAAGCATCTAGCCCATTGCATTCTGAAATGTTTTTAAGAAGCTGCTCGGCTAATGGTGACTTGCTAACTGGAGGCGCCTCAGCCATTGCTTCCTACAAGAATGAAGCAGACTAGTGATCAAAACATTCAACCCCACCAATCCTCCAACGACAATATACACCATGACTTCCACATCCAACAAACACAATCTGTTAGAAACTTTTAAAATAGCCATTTGCTAGTCTCAAGTCAGTCAAGGGCCTGAGACAGGAAAATTGAAACAGAGATGGACAGGCTTGTTGGGTTTTGTTTTGAGGACCATACATGCTTTTAAGGGCGTTTTCCAGATGCTTTAACATCAGCCCTAGCCAGCATGGCCAACAGTTAGGAATCCTGAAAATTATTGAACAAACCATCTGGAGGACACGAAGTTGAGAGGAGGCTGTTTTAGCCCATCAGTTCACCATAAATGAGTACCAGCTATCAGAGAACTGATGGCGGTAAAATTTAAAGAACTTCTGCATGAGGAATAGTAATCCGGAGATAACAAACAAGCTTTGCAATCTCTCCCTCCCGCTGCCACTTCGGTCCCCTCAAGGCCGTTTCCTCCGCACCGCCCCCCCCCCCGAGCAGCTCTCTCCGCCCTTCATCCCCCCTAGTCCTCCTCCTCCGTGCCCGAGAAGGGAGGGTGCCATGCCCCCGAGTCCCACAGGAGGGTGTCCGCCAACCCACATCTCCGCAAGCCGCTCTGCACTGCCCACGCCTTTCCCCGCAGCCCCGCTCAGAACCGCCCCCCCAAACCCCTCACACGGGCCTCTGCTGGAGCCCCGGCGGCTCCCTTTCCGAGGGACTCCCCTCCCGGTCAGCTCCGCTTCCTGCTGCCAAACCGAACACTCCGCCCCGCTCGAACCCGGCCGGGCTTCTTACCAGCCCGTGGGGGCCACCGCGCTCTCCCCGCCCCCATCCTCGGGAGTACTACTGACTACCGCTCCTCACCGCTCCTCGCTCCTCGCCCCGCTTTGCGCTTTTCTCTTTCGCAGTCTCGGCCCCTCCCCCCGTTTCCGGGGCCTTTCTCCTCCCTCAAGGCCCCCTCCCTCGGCTTCCTAGAGGGATAGTCCCCGCCATCCGCCTGAGTTATATTCAAGCAGCGGCTTCCATCACATGGTCCCGGCTGCCGCACCGTGCTAGTAAGCAAAGAAGAGTAGCGCTGAAGGAGCTACGAATACTTCCAACTTTCTCTCTAGAGACTTTGCCCCGCAAAAGTCTATAGATATTTTCAGGCACTATTAAGGAGACCCTAGTACAGAGACAGCGCATGCGCGCCAGCAAGGCTTTGCCGCAACGGGCCCCTCCGCCATAGAGTTCTCAACAGCCTCCCATACTTTTCTTTTTCACACTTCTTGAAGACCCTCGGTCTAGGAACGCTTTGGAGAGGCGTTGTGCGCATGCTCTTCACGGGGCAGCCGAGACGAGAACCGCACAGCAAAAATAGTTCGCTCAGTTCCATTCAGTGTTCTCGTTAATCTTCTGCCGACACTCTTGCGCTATTAATGGAAGTGTGACAATAAGAAATCCAACAGATGAAGCCTTGGACAGAAATGACATTAGAGGAGAAATCTTCCTCCCTAATATAAACAAAACTAAAATAAAATTAAAATTAATAATACTTCTATATTGACCACTAGCCAAATCTTTCTGGAGAGTTAAGGAGGCAGCAAAGAGCAACAGGCACATTTGAAAGTAAGTACTGAAATTCTTGTAGCAGCAGCATGAGGCTGTAACGGGAGGTTAAAATCAGTGCACGTTTTGAAGTTTTGCAGTAAATCCACACAGAATTCTTGAAACATCCTTGCTAACTAGAATGCATAGTTATAACATAAATTGATTTAGGCAGCCATTCGACTCCCAGAATTTGGGAAGAAGTCCCACTGCATACAGGTAGTTAGAATTATGCTTAGAATGTAGGCGCAATCCTATCCAAACTTATTTACGAGATCCATGCAGCACAGTTGCACTATTCTGCACCAGGAAATGTAGAGGACCTAGCATTAAGAAGTTCCAACCTGAAGGAAATGATTGTTGAGCACTTAGAGGTATCCTAGGCTAGCCTAACATAGAACTATTGGAGTTTATTTCTAACACTATTTCAGTGGCAAATCATGGCAGACAAATCAGGTTTTTATGAGAGAGATGAAGGATAAAACAATTCCCGTTTTAGAAATGGACAACTCACCCACCACCCACCCTAGGCTCCTGCTTTTATTACTCAAATCCCATATTCCAAAACGAACAAGGACTCTGAGCTCTATAGGCAATGGCTGTGACATCACTCAAGAGTCATGTGATCACTTGGTGGCATCCTTATGGCATCAGAAGTTCCCCAAGGACCACCGGAGACCCTGTGTCATTCACAGAGTCTGTGACGCTAGGCACAGCTCTAAGATCAGGTTTCTTTCTTTGCAGAGAAAACAATGGCTGGGTTTAGACAATTACGGGGAGAAAGAAGCCAGTGACTTCTCCCCACCCCCTACGCACGCTGGTCATGTCCTGACAGTGCACAGCTTCTCGTGCCAAGCAAGCCCAATGAGGTACAGGGATGCTTCTGAAACCGCCGTGAGGCTCTACAATAAGCAATGGCTTCTGGGGTGCTTCTGACCGGTCATCCGACCCGACGTCTTCAAAAGCAGTCCACACCTGTAGAACTGTGCAGATCATCAGGCAGCGTCAAATTTCCCCCCTTCATGAATACAGAAACAGGCACAGTAAGAAGTCACACATACAGAATCACTTTTATTAAACCAGATCTCCCAGCTACTGTGAAGAGAGATTGTTAATATTCATGATTTATGCTGATTGGGTGCCATCTCTAGAAGCCACTCTCTTAGAAGCCAAACACACGCGCACACACACACGCACGCGCACACACAAATAGAATACAGCTTCAGTTCAGCCCAGTCTGGCCCGGGTGCCAGGCAAGATGACGACAACAATGGGCATCCCGTTGCAGAGGGAGCTGTCTAGTAGGAAGAGGGTGGGCACTGGGCTGCAGGACCTCGCAACAGGACAAGCGGTTCCAGTCCATCCCTTCCTCTTTAACCCACAACCCTGGGACAGGCCTGGAGTACATCTCCCACAGTTCAACTGAACTTGAGCTACAAGCCCAATACTGCTAGTGCTTCCATTGCAAAGGCCCTTGACATGGGCTCCCTTTGCGGAATGATCGCCAAGGACCTACAGGTGCTAGATCCAGAGCATCTTTCTCTTAAGTGCAGGGGGAAGGTGGCACCTGTCCCCCCGACACCCTGCAGGCAAGCAGGCAGGCAGGGGGACTTCCATAAATGCTGCCCCCTCTCTGGGGAGGCAGGACATACCAAAGGGATGGCTCTGACCAGTTGTGCCTCCCCTCCCCACCTCCAAGCTAAATTTATTTTAGAAATATAGAAAGAAACTAAAATAAGGAACTAAAGAAAAGGATGGAGGTTTCACTTCTCAGAATCCTGGCTGGACAGATCCCTTGGCAGATGCCACTTATTACACTGGGGAGGGAGAAAAAGGGGAAGGGACAGAGAATGATCTACAGCTCTCCGCGAGCATGGAGCATGTAGTGCTCGTGAAGTTCCGACACCAAGCCAAACTCCCCTGGGCACTCGGTGCAATGGTATGGTCCATCAGCCCCATCTAAGTCCTGATCCCCATTGGCCTCCCTCAGGGCAGGGGAGGGGGAAGGCCTGTTACGGGGAGGGGCTGGCGGGCTCCGGCGCCAGCCATGTTCGCAGCGATGACCCTCCAGCGTGGCAGGAGAGGCAAAGCCCAGGCCACACTCGGCACATATGTAGTGGAAAGCTCTGCCCCGGCCAGAAGCCAGGCCTGTCCGCCCTTCCTGGCTTTCAGAGTTACCGGGCAAGATCAGAGGTGGCGGTGGCTTGGATGAAGAGGAACCGCTGTGTGGTCGCTTGCGCCCCACGTGGTAGCTACGGTGCACCTTCAGAGCCCGTGAAGTGCCAAAACCACGCCCGCACTCGGGACATTCATGCCACTCAGGGCTTGGGGCCTGCGAAGAGCTCAGCTGATCCTGCCCGGCCTCTCCGCTGTCATCTAACAGCTCCTCAGCAGTAGCCTGTGGCTCTTTGCTCCGTGGGCCTAGTGAAACAGACAGACAGAAAACCCAATGAGTCATGCACACCCACAGCCCCGTCTGGTTCACCCACCCCTGCAGTTCAGTGCTCCAGCAATGGTACGTCCCTGTTTTCCAGGCCCTTGGCATTCTGAAACTGAAGAATGCCACCATTTGCAAGCAGAATGCAGGGGGAAGAAAAACTTGCGGGGCTAGAGGTGTTCTGGAACTCAAAGCCAGCCCAAAAGCCAGCCATCCAATCCAGAAGTTTTGAAGCTATCTCAGCTATGTGAGAACAGCAGCAGGTTATTTATGCCACAGTCCTGTTAGTTAAGACCGAAAAAGGTCTTTTAACCCCCAGCCAGCCATGCTTTTTTATGTCTTAACATGCATAGGATCATGCCCTTGGAGGTGCCGAAAATGCACTCTTAATAAGCTTAGAGATATTCTTTTCATTGACTACTATTTTACTGGTTACAGAGTCCCTGGCACTACAAACTCAAAGAGGCCTAGATCTCAGATGTTTTGCTACACAGTATTAGATAGGCCTGCCTGCCATTTGACCCTTTTGAGTGTCCATACCTGGATAACCATTGGCAGCTGGGGTTGAGGGGCTGCTGTCTCCAGAAGATACTGAAGTGGCTTCAGATTCATCCTCTTCTTCTTGCATGGTGGAGAGACCTGGAAAAATCACGGCCTATGACTGGCAGAACTCAAATTGTAGGGTCGCTGCAAAGATTGGTGGGATGTGGAAGAGAAGGTTTACTCTACCCTAATTTCCAAGGAGAAAAGGTGATATGCAAAAATAACCAGCTAAAAAGGGAAGACCAAGGAGATCATATATCAACAGGGTTCTCTGTGCTGTAGGCTGATCACAAATTGAGCACTACCATATATAAGCAATTCCAGACAGATGGAACAGAATACCACAGAGATAAAAATGTAGACTGGCTCTCCTGCCCCTATTCCTGCTCTACAAATGGCACCTTTCAGTTGGAAACTGGAATGTCAAGGAAAAGTAGTGTGCCATTCCAAGTCCTTCCCTAGATCTATGGATGGGACATGCAGGAGGATCTCATTAGCAGCCGCAGAAAAGAAGTGCAAAAGGCACTGGAGTCGATCCAAAAGCAACCCTAAAAGGGAGGAGTCAAATGCACTGTGAAAACCAACCACTGCTTACTCCTTCATGTACTACTACTAAAAGAGATAGAAAGAAATGCTACAGCAGACTTTTCCACCAGGGGACCTCCACTTGACATCTGGGCTGGGAACAATGAGAGTTATAGTACAATATATTTGGATGGCACCAGGACGGCCCAATCTGTTGTGGTAGCCAGGAGTCAAGCCATCTGCAGCCTTTCTCATAAAAGGCCAATTCCAGAGAAACCACTAAAGTCAGTGGAAAAGCTAACAGTGAAAGTATATTAACTATACCTAGAAGGAATGACATTCTTAGTATTGTTTTTATTTACATTTCTATACCTCCTGTAGCAGAGGCTCTCTGGGTAGTTCACAACATGAAGTCACCTTTCCAGAGTTCAACCAGGTCTGATCCTGCTTAGCTTCCAAAATTAGGCATGAACAGGGACTTCAGGCCATACAGAAAATGCAGCTTTCATACTCAGCTTATTTGTCTCAACTACAACTTGGATTTGCAATATACGAATTAAGCCAAGAAACGAACCTGAAAGTATTGTATTGCCACCCAGATCCACACATGCTTACCTTGTAAGTCTCCCATCTAAGCACAAATCAGGTCAGATTGGAACAGCTCTTTCGGATGACTCCCTTCTGACCGTGTAGGGCTGTTGGCGGGCGGAAGGGGAACTCAAGCATCCCCCACCCCCAGACTCAACGTGCCAGTCCTCCCTCACTGCTCGCTATACTTTGCTCACCGGTCGAAGTCCCATCCTCCTCCTCAAAGCCAATGTCCTCAGTGCTCCCAGCTTCCACATGCTTGGGTACTTCAGACATCACACCCCGTAAGGCCAGCAGCCCAACCTGCAAGAGGAGCAGAACCAGCTGAAAGGTTTTGCCCAACGCACTGCTGGTTCCTCCCAGCCACAAAATCCACGCGTGACCGGCAGGAAGAGACTGCAGGAGGTACGAGGGATACTGAAGGGGGATGAAGAGGGGACTCAATCCCACAGTGCACAAGGGTTGCTACTACACAGCCCAATCCCACAATGCTCGGGGGAAGCCGAATACTGGCCCTCCCTACCCCCACAATGCATTGTGCCGAGATGGGCCAAAGGGAGCTCGAACCCCATAATGCTCTGCAACTCTAGGGATCGCAAGGGCCCGCGCGATCCCATAATGCACGGCGCCTGGAGGGGGCATTCGGACCAAGAGAAGGGCAAGCCAGAAATTTCTGCCCCTTTCCCATCATGCCTTGCACACCCTAACACTCACCGGTTCCTCCGGATTTGGGGAGGGGCAGCCCGGTCCCCTCTGGCCACAGGACCCCTAGCTGCGCAAGCGCAGACGGAGAAAGTGGGCCGGGCCCTCCCACCAGCGCTCATTCCTTGCGCGGGCGCACTAAAGCGAAGAGAACGAACTTGTGATCCGCTCTGCGCATGGGCGGGCTCCGACCGGAAGATGTGCGCATGCCCTCGGGGATTGGCTCGTGCGACGATGGAAGTTGGTCTGCGCGTGCTCGCCAAAGTTAGCCGCGACGCTAGTAGAAGGCTCTGCGCGTGCGCAAAGGAATATACCATTTGATTATAGGAAGCGGGGAGGGACGTGAAGCAAGAAACAGGGAATTCGGTATCGTTAAAGCTCCATCCTAGACGTATTTACTCGGAAATAAATCCCATTAATTTCCATGGATTTTGCTGCTAAGCAATACTAATGTTCCTGCTTCCCCCTCTATGAGGAATAATGGCATATTCCAGGGTGAGCACTTGAATGATGATCATAGGCAGGCAGACAGACCTGCCTTTTTTTCTTCCAAGGAACTGGATGCAGCCGACACGGCGCTCTCGTTCCTTGTTTTAGCCTCACAACAACCCTGTGAGGTAGGTTAGGCTGAGAGGCAGTGACTGGTCCAAAGACTATTAGGAAATGTCATTGCTCGCTGGAGTCCAAGCCCGGCAGCCCCAGCAATGTCTTCTTGATCCCCAGGCAGCTGTACTGTGTCCACCACAACGGGGAAGTGAGTGCAGTCTGACTGCCCACTCCGTGGAGCAGGCTTCCCAAACCTGTTGCCCTCCAGATCTTTTGGACAACTCCCAGCATCCCCAGCTGGACTGGGGATGCATGGTGTGGAAGACTGGGCCTCTTTAGCCCCAGTCCCCATGGTTGCAGGAGCCAGATGAAAGGGCAGGGGAGCAGGCATCCAGACAGCTGGGGCTGCTGCAGTCGGCCTGTGGTGCTGTCCCCTGATCAGCTTTGGTGGAGCCGGGGAGTGGCGATGGCCAGGTCCCGCTGGCAGAAGAACAGAAGCTGTGCAGAGACATGGACAGGGCCATGATGGAGTTCGGCTAGGGCTGGGCTGGTGAATAAGCTGCTTCTGGGGTGCTTCGCAGTCTTGAATCCCAAAAGTGCACAGGAGCTTTTTCTGTGCAATGGCAGCAAGGCAGATGGGCTGCTTCCCTCCCATCTCGATAGTGCAGGCAGGTCTACCCTGTGGTGCAGGGCTGTTAAAAGCACAGGAGCCCTCTAGGAACAGGCCTGGCACTCGGGTAGCTTTCCTACAGCAGGGTTCCCCAACCAGGTTCCCTCCGGGTATTTGAATTTCCAACATCCACCTGCCACAGTAGACATGGCCAGTGGTCAGGGATGCTAAGAAGTATGGGAGGCACCAGGCTGCAGAAGGCTCATCTGGAGATTCACGGTGTGTTGCCTCATGCAGGAGACGATTTCCTGCATTGAAGTGCCCAGCAGTGGGTGCAGCTGAACTCCATGCAATAGATAGAAAATGGTCAGCTTGGCAGCCGTTAGAGGGAGCTCTAGTATTAATCTGGCTGGTGAGTAGCCCTGGCAAAGACTCAAATGCCACTGGTGAGCGCTTTAGAGACTGCATGACCTGGCGGAGTTGCAGGGGGCGTTTTTGTCACAAGTAGGACCCGTCAGCTATTTCCATCATCACCCCATAAACTAGAAAATGGCTAGGAAGATCTTAGCCTGGATGACTGCCAGTTTCAAAGGAGGGAAGTAGCAGACGAGAGTTCTCCATCCAGCAGAGCAAACTAGACTGGAATATGCAAAGCCAGGGGAAGAAAGTGCTCCCTGGGGTGCAAGCCTATGCATGTTTAGACCACATAAAGTTACAGATTCTTCACATCTGCCAGCTAGCAGAGCTGGCCTGGAATATGCTGAGAGTTGTGGGGAAGGGGGGTTTCTATCTAGACATGCAAAGGACTGTACCCTTGGCCTCCTACAGATCTTTTTAATTAAGCAGCCCAGAGGGCTGTATTCAAGGCCCAGAAGGTGAGGTGTGATACATATCAAATCCTGGAAGAAACATGTCCTGTCACTGCTATCTCCCCGCCCCCCTCACAAATCCTCTCTCTGCAGCAGTTTTCCCTAACCTAGTGCTGGCTGAGGGATTATAGGAGTGGTAATTCAGTGTATCTGCAGGGCACCACATTGGGGAAGGCTGGTCAATGACTTAAGCTAACCCGTGGCACAGAAAAACATCCATTTGTGGCACACCTGGAGGTGGAAGATTGGTCTCTGCGTGGATTGGCTCCTGGGACTCGTGCAGTCCTTTGAACCACAGAGCAGGCAATGGGAGAGATGTGCGCAGGGCAAGAAGTTGTAAAGCAGGGATGGGAATGTGGGATCGTCCAGATGTCGGTGGACTGCAGCTCCCATCAATCCTAGACAGCATGACCAGCAGCAAGGGAACATGGGAGCTGCAGTCCAACATGATCTAGAAGGGCATGGGTTGCTCATTCCCTTCACAGCACATACCATCATTTCTCGACCACGTCAAGTTCCAGTGAATCCAGTTTTGAACCGCTGCAAGCCGGCTTCCCCCGAACTATCCTGCTTCCATCCATATTCAGCGTCCGTATAGCCTGAAGTGCATCTTGGAAGCTGAGTGAGGTTGGGCCTGGCTGAAATCTGAATGGGCGACTTAACTGTTGCAAACTGCACAGAGCACTTTGGCTACAGGTGATATAGAAATGTAATCGAGTAGTAAAAATAATAATATCCAAGTATGGACAAGCCCATCTGAACTGTGAAAGCACACTTCCCATCATCCACAGCCAGCATGGCAGCCATGCAGGTAAAGGGAGTTGTAGTGCACAAACAATGCCTTCTGGAGGGCTCTAGGTTGGGAAAGTGTGAATTAAAACAGGGGGCTTAATTCAAGTCACATTCTATTTTAAAATATGTTCAATATAAAGCACTATAAAAACTGGATGGAAAATTCCGTATTAGAAAAGCTTTTCCCTCATTTCCTTTGAGTTGACATACACTGTCTAAAAAGCAAAGCAAATATGTTTTCTTTTTTCCTTAAGAACTACTATTTAATATACATATTCATTCAGATTTATTCAGTTGATCAGGAAGTGAACTAGAACCTATATATTAATTGTTTGGTAAGCCTGCAATCCTATATCCACTTACCTGGAAATAAACCCCACTGAATTCAATGTGTTTTACACCTGAGTAGATCTGTATAATGGAATCGCTCTGTCAGAGTTCATTAATCGAATTACTGTCTCAGTCAAGACATCCAGAATACAAAATTTCTTGCTGTCCCTTTAAAAGAACCAAAGGGGAGGGGGGTTATAATGAGGATGATGTCATTTTCCAGGGGGTCACATGGGGCTCCTGACTGCTACTGAATGAAGTCAGTTTTATTTTTATTTTATTTTTTTCTGCATAGGCAAGCGGAGGCATGGAATTTAATCCACCTATGAGAGCGTTCTGCTGGGGTTGCAGCATCTCTTGCGTCTCAAGTGCTTAAGCAGTCAGGGTTCATGCAGTATGTCACATCAAAAGCAACAAGAAATTCAGCTGTGGTTGCGGGAGAAAGCGGGTTTTAGAGAAGCACCCACAGTTGCGAGAAGATGGACGGGGGCCTGTTCCCCTTTCGGGGGCAATAGCAACCACTTTCACAGCGCATGCTGAACACTGTTCCCTTCTGATTGTGTTCCTGGTGCTTTCCGATTTTCCCTGAAAATGAACAGCGTTTGAGCTGGAAAGAGTTAAGGTTTTCCATGATTCCTCATTGCCTAGGCAAATGTATGAGAAGCACTTCATCCGGTGGTTTTCAATAACTCGGCTGGTCCAGAGCATGGAAGCCTTTGGGCAGCAGCTTAGAGCAGAAAACAGGATACAATTCCCTAGGGCAGGAAGGGGCAGCCTTTTGGGGCCCAAGTGCCGCACCCCCCCACACACAAGCTCTTGAGAGCCGTGTTCCAGCAAAGGTCAGAGGCAAAAACAGGCCGAAGGACAATCTCACATAAGCACACGTACAAGTAAGCCCCTCTCCAGTCCAAATTCTACTCTGACTGCTCTGTAGCTTCCTCTTCCTGTCACCTGCAAGAACACTGTGGGTTCTTTCATGTTCAAGCTGTTCTGTGCTTCTGAGACGTGGGAACTCGCCCTGTCCCAAACGGCAAAGACCATCAATCCCGAATCGCACATCATGTTACCATTCCGGAGCAATTCTGCTTGTTCATCTAAACAGTTGAAGAGCCAGGACAGATAATTCAGTTATACAATCAAGGAAGGGTCACTTGCTTTGCATGTACACCGTCCAAAGTTCACATATGTTCCACCCTGAGATACGGGTGACACCCATTCTCCTTTCACTGAGGACAAGAGATCCATCAAACTGAGCATTAAGGCTTCACTCAGGATGTGCCAAGCTTCACTTCTCAGCTAGGTGCACGCCCACAGCTGCAGTCTTGAGGGCTAGAAACCTGCTCTTTGTTGTTATAGGTAATTAATTCTGTGTCTCAGTACCTGAAGTCACACTACCTCTGTGCTTGTGAGAATGCCTATCACTGG